CACAGCCTGCGTGCGGGAGACCGGAGTCTGCACAGCCCCTCTGGAGAGGGCCAGAGAGTGACTGTTTCAGGCTCTGCGCCTCACGCTGTCCCTGTCACTATGGCTGGTCTCTGTCATTGTGGCAGGAAGGTCGCCACAGGCAAAACACAGCTCTTGGCTGGGTTCCCAGGAAACTCCACTGTGGACGCTGAAATTTGAATTCCATTATTACTTTCACATCATAAAATATTCTTTTGATTTTCTCCAGCCACGTAGAAATGTAAAAGCCATTCTTAGCCTGTGGGCCACATAGAGAGATAAGCAGCAGGCTGGATGTGACTCAGGGTTTGCTGGTCCCTGTGACGGACACACAACAAAGATCTCTCCCTCCCCTTGTTCTTTATACACATGCACACATGTGCACACACACAGGCAAGCGGACGCACACACTCATAAGCACAGACACACCCCCCCCACAACTAGAGACGCAGAGGCTCAGACCAAGTCTCCCCTCGCCTGCTAGCACCACACCCACGATCCGACTGCCTGCATCTCACCTAACCCAGTCCAATGTGCGCTTTCAGGGGGAAAAAACAAAGTCAACTGCAATTTTTAAACTGGTTTTTGATTTAGATGATGATTTGCTAATATCTGAACTGCCTCCGTCTTTATTGGCCATGAAATTGAAGCAGAATATCCCCAATTGTTCCCAAAGTGGTACCCCAGGAAGTATCGTGCATCCTTCCGGTTTCTGAGAGGAAATGGAACCCACACATTCTGTGCGACCTTCCCCCACAGACTTGACTGGAATCCTCTAAATGCTCCGCCTCGTTAGCCGGGCATGATTACGAGGCAGGGCATGGATCTCTCAATCCGAAGCCAGTGGTTGGCCAACGATTCCCACAAACCGTCCACCCGTCTGCGGGGTCAGAATCTTGTTGTATTTTCAGAAATAACAGGACGCCCCCAACAAGAGAGGGAAGACCGTCGTGGGCTTGCTCTTGGCTCAGGGTCCAGCCGGCTGCCTTTGCTCTGTGTTGAGTCCAGGGCGGGCGGAGAGGCTGCCGCACACACTTCGTGTATCTGGGTCAGTGAGCCCCACCCCCACCCCAAGGCCTTAGCCGGTGGCCTGAGTCACAGGCTGTGCGGGTGAGAATTAAACATTTACCATCTGCAGAGGAGCACAGCTCCCTCCCGGTGCTGGCAGGTGGCGGCTGCAGCCCCGTAACAGCTGGGCCCTGTCGGATGAGGACGGGCAGGGCGTGTGTGCGCATGTGCTGGGACTGCCTCTGCAAAGGTTGGTGCCAGAAGGCATCTTCGGGGTCCACCCTCCAGTCCCTTTGTTCTACTAATGTGTCCTTGAACACGTGACCTATTCCAATGCAGGGCAGCCAAACTTCCTTGCTCCAGCTGGTGCCCTAGGTAAAGGGATTCCTTCTCAGGCAAAGGGAAAAGTGGACCGCTCGCTGCAAGGCGAACTGTCTCTCCTGGGACTGTGTAGACACATTCTCAGTTCCTTGATTTCTGGTTCCGAGATTTTGCCAGATCCTCCTGGCTAAGTATCTTCCCCTTGCCCCTCCACATCCATTTGCTGCCCTCCTCCATCCAGGTGGACAGCATCAGTGGGCAGCAGGACCTCTGGCTCTGGGTGGGCTTGGTGAATGGGAGGGGTGAGCACGGCATCAGTGGGCAGCCCGGACCTCTGGCTCTGGGTGGGCTTGGTGAACAGGAGGCGTGAGCAGGAGAGTGAGACATGGACTGGGAGGCCAGAGGCTCCATCCCTCCGACTCCCTCCCTGCCAGGTTTCTATGGCCTGGCTGTGTCCCTCCGCCTAAGGCCCAGCAGCTGTCGGGGACCCTCTTCCTGCAGGTGCAGCCACCCACCTCCCCCGGCCTGTCAGCCCTGTGGACGGTAACAGCTCCCCAGGCCCACGAGTCCTGCCCCAGGCCTGCCGGACCACCATCCACCCTCTCCCGTCCATTACACCCTCCTTACTGTCCTGCCTGTTGCCGACTTCTCCGTCTCTGAATTCTCCTTGTTCTTGGCTGTTGCACAGAGAAGACTCTCCTCCCTCTGTATGCAGGACAGGGTGCTCCCCAAGGACATCGGAAGCACCGCGGTTCCAGAGTTCACGCACTGGCACGGCATCTCCTGCAAGTCTACAGCACCCATTCACCTTTTAGGGCGTTGAACTCCTAGAAACTGGCAAGCCCAGCATTAACACCCCTAGTGGTTTTTCCAAGGTCAGAGCCATATGGAGCTCTCTCATTCTCTTCAACGTGCTGACATTGCCACACAAGTCCTTGCCTGGGTAACCCATGGAAGTGCCTGGCACTGTGGGGGCAGCTCAGAATCTGACAGAGTAACCAGGTCCAAGAGCCCTAGAAGGACGGTCAGGCATGGTCTCCCTGGCTAGGATTTTAGGACATGAGGCTTTGACTGAGGGATGTTTGTTGAAGTATCAACAGCCTCATCAGCCATTCACTAGCAGACGGCCATATCTACCTGTTTGAGAAACACCCTTGCCCAAGACGCTTGGAGGGACTGACTTCTGTCACCCAGTCCTCCTGAACCCGTGTCACCTCTCTGCACTGCAGGAGTGACAGATGAACCTCCCCCATAGCAAAACAGCATTTTCCATTGCAAGCTGCCATGAGGTGAGCAGGGCACCATACACAGAAACTGGCAAACGCACTGACACAACACCAAGAGAAAACACGAATGGCAGGTTTGTGTGAAAGAGCCCATCTTGGACACATGAAGGTCATTGTCAAGTAGCTAGCTCTAGGTCATCATGGTCCAACAGAACTGTCTGAAGCCATGACCCCTGTAATCTGCACTGTCCAATAGGGTAGCTGGTAGCCAATGTGGCTACTGAACACTTGATACGTGGCTTGTGCCACTGAGGAAATCAATCTTACCTTTTATTTCATTTCAGTTAGTTTAAATATAAAAAGCCACAGGTACTACAGGGTTGGACACAGCCACTCCTGAGAGTTGTGTCCAAAGAACTCACCTACCTCCGGTGAACTAAAGACTGGCTGGGATCCTTCAAGAAACTTACCCCTGGAATGAGCTACTATACAACCTCTTCATCCGTGGCACAGGAAGACTTCCCAGACAGGTAAACGTAAAAATATTTAGAGAGTGATTCAATAAGCACATATTAAATTGGAGACATTTTTATGAAAATCATTCCACATTGGCTCCTGATTTCAGAACCGGAAGTTCAATGATAGTCTACATGCAACCCCACCCCCAGCTCCTAAAATAACCACAGAAATACAATTCTTATATCCGGCAGATGGCAAATATTTGTTATCATTTAATACACTGTCTTTCTCAATATTGACCTGTTTGGTGCCAACACTTCCTGAACACCTACAGAATGTCAGACTCTGTAAAGGTTACCAAAGGTGTAAACAGCATGATGTTTGCCTCGTCTTGGGCTCTGAGCTCTATGGTGATTGAAGGAGAGTGAATTATTGAGTGAAGCATGTGAGGGTCGCTCACGGAGCAGCTCTGCCCCAAGGGTCTCCTGAGCCTTCTCGTCTTTCTCCTTGGCTTGTACCCATTCAAGGACACTGACAGGGAGTAAAGAATTATTGTCGTAAATAAGAGTCTCACTTAAGTAGGTGCATGGGCAGTTTTTTCCATCAAATGGGCTCCTAGGAAAGTGAAACAGTAATGGGTGTTTGAAATTTTGCATTTTAGTTCTACTCCAAAGAAAATAGACAGCCAATGCCCTTCCTTCATGGTACAGTCTTAAAAGAGATGACTTTTTTTTTCATGATCCTCCAAATCATGGTGATATTCAAACTATTTGACAACCAGTAAGGCAGGAACACCAGGTAATCACAAAAGATAGTGTATGGGAACCAACCAATCAGACTAGACATTGTATGGGCACCAACCAATCAGAATAGATACTGTATGGGTGCCAACCAATCAGAACAGGTAGAGTGCCTGCCACAGCCCAGTGTGCCAGCAAAGCTGCTGATTCATAGGAGGGCATGCATGGCAGGGGCCCAATGTGATTTAAGATCATAAAAGTATTTTATAAGTCACAGTTGCATATAGACTTGTCTACCATTTCATGGACCATCAAGCATATTTGTTGAGTAGTAAGAAACATTTTTGTGATGAATTTGTGCCTTGGACTTAGTAACTTGAAGGAATTCACAACAATCTTAACACATTTTAAAAGTCAAATTCTACTTTGGCAAAAGCGTGGCAGAGCACGAGGTGTGCTCAGGGCAGTTGCTGGTTACCAACCACCGTGGAAATCTGTGCCAACCGGGGCAGAGCTCAGCCGAGTCACAGCCCCACCCCCGGGTGAAATGTGCAGGGACGGGGCGTGCAGTGACACACCCTGAGCAGCTCTACATGGAAAAAATATATAGTTGGAGCCTTGGCTGGTGTAGCTCAGTGGATTGAGTGCAGGCTGCAAACCAAAGTGTCGCAGGTTCGATTCCCAGCCAGGGTACATGCCTGGGTTGCAGGCCATGACCCCCAGCAACCACACATTGATGTTTCTCTCTCTCTCTCTCTCCCTCCCTTCCTTCTCTAAAAATAAATAAATAAAATCTTTAAATATATATATATATATATATATATATATATATATATATATATATGAACAGGCAGCAATTTCATCCTCTGTAACAACACTCATGTGAACTTTAAATGGGGCAAGGCACAGCAGTCAGAGACTGACGTGAATGTGATTTTGTTTTTACAGACACGCCCTATTTGCTCCTTAGAGAACGCTTGGTTCCTGGGGGTGGAAAAAGGTGAAAGGGACTGAAGAGAACAAATTACCGGTTACGAAAATAGTCCCAAGGATGTGAAATACAACATATTGTAATATTGTAATTACTAAGTGTGGTACCAGATGGGTGCTACACTTATTGGGGTGATCACTTAACAAGGTACATAAATGTCTAACACTATTGTCATACACCTGAAACTAATATAATATCGTTATGTCAACAATAACTGAAAAATAAAATAGGAGAGACTTAAGAAATACAATAATTTAATATGATGTATGAACCCAGACTGAATCCTACACAAAAAAAGTATTAATAAACAACAAGACAATGAGAAAAAGTATAGTACTGAATCACTATGTCATATTTAAATTTTTTTCAATGAAAAAAAAAGAAAGTGCTTGATTCCTCAACTCTGTGATCCTGTAAACGAAGTGCATGAAAAGCAAAGACTTGAGAGAAGCAACAGAAGTCTTCTGTGTTTCCTCTTTTATTTATTAAAGAAGACATTGCTCCTTTCCAGTTCCATCCCGGCGTTCTGGCATGTGAACTCTAGTCTCCACGGAGAATAATCCACATGTACGTCGTCTGAGGACACAGGAGCAGCCTAACAAGGGGCCCGGAAAAACGAATACCTTCACGGAAATACCCCAACAATGAGATATTTCTCCAGGTATGCAGCAGTTGCGGAATTTAATCGTATTTTTAACCCATGAGTTCTGATTCTCCAGGCAACCTGAGATGTCTGACATCTCCATTGTTGTCTTCTTCTTTCACTGATGAGACGCAATAATGCCCACATACGACACATACATAAATAGAATCTCCATGTGATGCAAGGCAACACGTCTGAAGTCACGGTAGGATACAGATTCCACTACCATTTCTTAGACCGGCAAGCAGGAGTGTGCAGTGACGAGACACATGACCGCGATCAACTTGTAGCTCTTAGTGAGTAACTTGACGGAATTAACTGAAATCTTGAAACACAGTAAAAGTGGAATTCTACTTTGGAAGCTGGGAAAAGCAGTCCTTCTCCGTCTGAGAGACACTTTATTCGAGGATTCCAGCATCACCTCTTCCAGGGGACGCTGGCGGAGCCGGGGCCTCAGGACAGCAGAGGGCGGCGCCGACCTCGTCATGACACAGGTCATGGGCCACGGGCCACATCTTCCCTACACCAACGTCACATTCCTGACCTGTTTGGGGCCGGCCATGAACAAGGTCACCTGCGGGCGGCTTGTCGGGGCCGGCTGCTGGTGATCGGGTCCCTGGGAACAAAGGGAAGAGGTCTGATTAAATCGGGTGAGATGGCTGTACAAGGCATGCTTACGCGGAAAGCGCCACGCGTCAGATGAGATAAAACGAGGGCGCGGAGAGGAACACAAATTGCGTAAGTGTTTTCAGTAACACGCACTCCGGAAACGTCCCAAGGTCAGGCCCTGAAGAGTGACCCAGCTCCAAGAATCGATATGTGTTAAGATGCAGCACACTGCTGCAAAGACACGCTGTTTTTGCCTTTCAGCTTTCCAATGGAAACTCTAGCTTCTGAATGAAAATAGAAACTCTTTCTAACCTTAATAACACACGTCTTCTGAAAGAGAGGGGTAAAATCGAGGGTCTCACTCCATGTAGGCCACGCATCGGGCTCCTATCAGGAAGGCGGGCGGGCGGTCTTGGCCGTTCTCCTGCTGAAGCATCATCCCACACAACCCACGTACCCCTCCAGAGGTGCCACGGCCTGTCCTGGGGTGCTGCCCATTACAATACACGCGACGCGCTTTCCTGCCAGTCCCGAGAACCACAGCTCAGATTCCAGGGCAGCGTGGCTGCCCTTAACGTCTTAAATAATGCAGGGGGCCGCCATGAATGATTCACGCGGCGATGGGATGGCACTGAGTCTCAGGCCCACTCTGGCTCCTGGTCCCCAGTTATTGAGACCCTGTTGCACAGACCTGGGGAGCTGGTGGGGCTTCCTCAGCCACGTGCTGTGGGGTTGTGCTTCCGCCCGGACCAGGCCTCCAAGACCCCCTCTCGGCCGTCTTCCCTTTGTTTCCCCTGCTGGTTGCACAAGTGCATGGCTGTTTGCTAAATTTATCAAGACTTTGTTTACATCGATCTCAACAGGGGCATGACAAACGGGGAAGACCTGACCCAGGCTCCAGTTGTCCCCAGCGCTCACCCCCCAAACTGACAGAACAGAGAATAACCAGAAACTGGACTGACTACTACGGTCAACAGGGGCCTGGAAAGAAGGGGGTAGTGGGGTGAGGGTTGTTTGTTTTAAATATTCATCAAGATGCGCCCTGGCTGGCGTAGCTCAGTGGATTGAGCGCGGGCTGCGAACCAAAGTGTCGCAGGTTCGATTCCCAGTCAGGGCACATGCCTGGGTTGCAGGCCATGACCCCCAGCAACCACACATTGATGTTTCTCTCTCTCTCCCTCCCTTCCCTCTCTAAAAATAAAAAATAAATAAAATCTTTAAAAAAAAGATGCAAAACATTTCCAAACCACATGGCTTCAGATAAAAATAAAAGGCGCTTGCCTTTCTCATCAACTGTGGTTTTTTGATAAGAATTTCTAGTTGTATCCATTGGGTTTGTCCCAATGTGCTTTATGGGAGGTTACCCCTGAGTTCACTATACTTCACCAGCAGAAGCTCTTGTCTGGAAAATAATGTCAGTGTTAGAACCACAGATTCAGTCGGAACAGAAATGACCAGGGTAGAAACGTGTCCTGCTTTGGTGTCAGTTTTGGAGATCAGTCTCTCGGGTTTTATTTTCCTTCTAAACCTCCCTACAGTGTAATGTGAGTGGTCTGGGGTCTCTGCAGCCTAAAACCCTGTTTCTCTCACTCACACTGCATGAAGTGCACCTGCGGACGCATCCAAAACCAGGAGGTTTTAAAGGGGTTCCCCAGATCCTCGGACTCTGTTGAGACTTTCCACCTGACACCCCTCACGGCACCCCACAAGCATCGCAAATTCTTCCCTGCGCTTGATGGCAAGCTCGGGGCTGCGGGTTCGTGAAACTCCAGTCATTCCAAACGCACAGTTCTAAGACAACCCCCAGATCTAGGACATGGTTTTTCCCTAGAAACAAATCTGCAGTTGTAACACTGCGGCTATACGCATGGTATGTTTTCACACTGAGCAACCAAATATTTTCCTCCAAGCACATCACCCACAGGGCAGGTGGCAAAAATACCCGTTGGTTGGCCCGGTTTCCCACAGTCGGACCCAGAAAGTTGGAAAGAGGCTCAGGAGTTTGCACTTGAACCAGCAGCCCTGAGTACCTAGAGTCTCCCTGTACTGAGACCCACGGCCACGCCAGCAGGGCACCTGAGTGCACGTGTCTGTGGGTGTGAGGCGCCCCTCCAGGTGTGGGGACCATTCTTCGGGATCCAGGTACAGGAAACACATCCCCATTCTCACCACATAGAGACAGGAGCAAGGACTGCGCCCTCTCAGCCTCTGATAAGCAATGTCACGGCCAGGGGAGACCTGGCCAGCGAGTGGGCTGAGAGGTGGGGCGAGCAAAGGAGGGGCCTCCACGCAGCCAGCAGGTGCCTCTTCCCACGGTACGTGACCCAGCGTCACCCCACAGACCTGACCTACACCAGCCGCCGACCCTGTAGCTTCAGGCCACGGTGGCTGCCTTCTGCGGTCAAACCTCCAGCACTACAGATGCTGTCCCCAGTGACACCATCCCAGAGACATTGTCCTGTCCTCTAAGGACTGTCAGCACTGAAAGCATCAAGGGGCAACTAGGGATGCAAAGAAAAGAGGTTCCCCTCCAAATCAACCCCGTCTTGATCTTTCCCGTGGCAGCGTGGGCCTATGGCGCTCTGGGACTTCTCGGAAAGGGTGTCGAAGGGGCAAGAGCTATGGGGAGCTGGTGCAGCGGCAAATGGGTCTCCTCCCCTTCCCGCAGCGTTAAAACCCCAGTCTCCCGTTTCAGTGACTGTTCGGTGGAGAGTGAAGTGAATATCATGCCCGGGGACACGGGATGAGGACGCAGCCGTAGAGGCGCAGGTGTGTGGACACAGGTGTGTGGACACAGGTGTGTGGAGCACTGGGTAGGACAGGAAGTGGTGTTCAAGGCAAGAGGGAGAGTAACCCAGAAACACTGCCCGCCCCTCAGTGCCCCATACTTAGCCCCAAACTGGCTGTGGTCGCATCCCAAGGGGCTCAGTGTCTGCCCCCTCCTCTACTTCCAGAGGGGTCCACACGATTCCAGCAACAGTACGGCACCGTCCACCCAGGGAGGGGTCTACCCCGCCCCCTCTGCCGTGGAGGTAGCACGGGCACCATGCATGCCTTGGGCCGAGCGAAGGGTGATGACTGGCTGGTGTAACGTCACGAGCGAGACAAGCTGATCTTTGGCAACGGCCCACCCTGCGTCCCAACAACCCTGCACTTCCGTCTTGCTAAACCATAACCAGTGACCCTTAAACCTAGCCTCCCGTCAGAGCCACCGCAGGTGGGTCTAGAACACAGGTGCTCAGGCTGCCTGCCCAACTCTACCGAGCCAGGGGGTCCACAGGGGGGGACCAAGAACCGGAGCCTCCCAAAAGCCACAAAGGCCAGTCAATCGCATGCAGGGCTGTGTTCTCTTTGGGCCAAGGACACAGAAAGGAGCTACCATGCTCCTAGGCCAGGCCTGGCCCTTTCCTATCGGTGCTCCATGCAAACCAGCTCAAGGCCAAGTTCCCCATACGGGCACCTGCACGCAGTGCCTGGGCCCGTCCCTCAAAGGCCCCCTTTGGTTGGCGATCTAAGACCAACCTCTTCTGAACTGCTTGCCCTAAGGTCCCCACACTAAGTAAAAAAAAAAAATCCAACTGGTTGAAAACCCTCTGAACGTTTCTAGCCCAGATGAAACTCAGTTCCCCTGCCCTGCGTCCTGCCTGTTCCTGAGGGACCCGGAGCTCAGGGCCAAGACGCACGGCTCCCCGAGGGCCTTACACACACTTCATGGAGCTCAGACGTGTGTGTGTGTCCCCGGCCCTCTGGGCCCAGCAGGACGGCCGCTGTTCTTTTTCCACCAATAGATTATTTAGCTGGTTCCGTGTTTAAGTGGCAGAAACGTCTTAAGTTTCTCTCCCTGTGCATCTTCCGAACAACACTTGAAGCTGAAGCAGCGTCCACTCAGAGCCCTGAAACGTCACTCTCCAGTCCCGCGTCCAAACGCATCTAGAGTTCCCCTTTGCCCTCATCTATACCTCAAGGCGAATCAGCTGGCAGGACCCTCTTCTGAAGTTCCTCCCCCTACCGCCTGCCCCGCCCCCGCTCAGGCCAGGCCTGAGCATGTTGGCTTGTCTACTGGAAAGACACCTGACAGGGAAAGGTCACCACAAGGTCACGACAGAGTTGGGTGGGAGGGTGCCCCTTCATCACCCCACGATCGCCCCCACTCAGGTCCAGGCCGGGGGGTTGACAGGCGACATTCTTCACAGCCTGGTGGCTGGCAGTGAGTCCCTTTCCCAGCCACCTGTTAGTCCAGAGGCCAGGCCTTCGCCAAGGAACCTGCGGCATCTCTGCAGTCACCCCTCCCAGCGCCAGACTCATGCACCAGAAGACAGCGGCGTAGCTGGGAAGGGCTTGAGCTCAGCATTCCCCTGACACCAGCCTGAGGAAGTACCTTGAACTCACCATCTGTCACGTGGGCCCACCATCCTCTCTTGAGCCACAGATCTCGAGTACGTCTTCCCGCCTGGCCACCTGGGCTGCCACCAACAGCATCCCTGAGGCCCTCCCGACACACGGCTGGACACCTGTCAGAGCGTCCCCTTCCCCTGAAGGCCTGTGAGGCCCACATCACAGGCAAGATGTACGGACTGAGCTGAATCCCGACAGCAGGGGGCGCTAGTACAGCCTGGAGGTGCCCGGGAGCTCAGGTGAATGAATGCTCAGGTGGGGGGCTGCGAGAGTCCTGTCTCTGCGGTAGGACCGCAGGCTACTGGCGCCTCCCCTGCAGCACAGGGCCAGGGGCCCGAGCCAGCGCGCTGGAGGGAACCCGGTTCCAGGAGAGTGTAATAAAAATGGACTTCTCAGTTAAAGCTGCTTTTCTGCAGGTCAGAAAATGGCGCTGGTGACATATAGTTTGCCTAGTGAGATTTTGGACAAAAAGAATCATATTTCCTGCGTATAAACTCTTAATGCATTCACGTGCGACAACCACACGGACTCTGTGTCAGAAAATCAACATACTGTGGACTCATGGGTCCTGTTTCCTTTAAGTGGACTTCCCTTAGAAGGACGCCACCCATCTGAATCTGCCCAACAGCCAACAGCATCTGCATGTGGGCCCTCCTGGGAACCCCAGGCTCGTGCACCCCACTGCACACCCGACACCCCTGTGCGGATGTCTAACAGACACCTCAAGATCTACAAGCCCCAACTAAAACTTCTGGTCTTTCCCCCCAGACCCACTACAAAGGACAAGAGATGCCCTGTCCCAGTTCCCTCCAGGGTGATCAGCTGACCTGAAGGGGTGCCAGGGCCACGTTCTCCCTCATTCACCCACAGTCACAAGGCCAGGGTTTTTCAATGGCAAAAAAAAAAAAAAAGGGAAAACAGTGTAAATCACCTGCTGAGCTTGCCCGCTGCGCTGCCGTTGGAGAACGCTGGCATCGTGAAGCTCCCGAGGGAGAGAGGCAGGCTCTGCAACAGAGGAATGACCTTGGAGTCACACGTGACGAACCAGGCTATACCGTCCAATGCTTCCGACATGTAAGGAGGTGCGCTGGTTTTACCAGAGCACCCCAGTGTAGAGGAATCCTTAACCACAAACAGACTGGTTTTAAAGTTGCCTCCAGGTTACGTACTTTTAGAACATAGGTTTTCTAATGAAATAAAAGTATGGTAACCAAGCCCTGGCTGGCGTAGCTCAGTAGATTGAGCGCGGGCTGCGAACCAAAGTGTCGCAGGTTCGATTCCCAGTCAGGGTACATGCCTGGGTTGCAGGCCATGACCCCCAGCAACCGCACATTGATGTTTCTCTCTCTCTTTCTCCCTCCCTTCCCTCTCTAAAAATAAATAAATAAAATTTTTTTTAAAAAAGTATGGTAACCAGACTCGAAATCAGTTCCTTTCTCGACATGTCCGTCTCACCCAGAGACACGATGGATCTGCGGCGTTCCCTGCTGACGGAGGGAAATAAACCCACACAGAGTGGACAGACGGGCAAAAAAGAAGCAGCGTGGTTTGGTCTGGGCCGTGATCCCGGGCAAGCTGCTTGATTAATGGCTCCAAGTACGAACGAATACGTACTCGCTCACAGGAAATTTTGCAAGAAGCTGAGACCGCATTATCAGAGGGGACAGCCCACGCTGCGTGGAAGCCTCGGGCGTGTGCAGCTGCAGCGTGGACCGTCCAGGGGAGGCAGCCATGGCAAAGGGAAAAAGAATGGGCTGCTGAGAATTGCTCTCATTTTAGTCCAAAAAAAAGTGATTTTCAGGCCTCTCAGCAAGAATCGATTAACTAAAAATCCCTCTGGGGAATGTGTTTTGCGACATGGCTTATTAGGGCCAGGTCTCCCTCCCCTGCTCCGCTAAGCAGTCATTTTTTCTGCCTTAAACAAGGACCCCGGTTCAAACCCTGCCCCTGCCTCTTCCTAGTGACTGTGCCCTCCGAGAAGGATGCATCCTCCCTGAGGATGTATCCTCTCGACACAGGACACTGAGAAGACACAAAAAGTCCCTTCGCAACTGGGCTGCGTCGGTCAACATGCCCCCGCGCCCTGCGAAGGCGACCGGGGACAGGCCGAGCTCCGGTGCCCCGCGGACCCAGCCGAGGTTCCGGGGGCGGGGGGGGGTGCCCTCCGTGCACTAAAATGCCTCCTCACACACTTTATAAGGTAGAAGGCTTCAGAGAAAGAAAATGTATGGACAATTTTTATTTATAAAAACACTTAAGTTTCCACATCCCTTTATTTTCACATGTCAGACAAACTAGGTGGGTTTTTGGCTGTCGGTCTAATGCTGGCACATCCCCAGTTCTGGAGTTTCTCCTTCTCCTAAAAATCACCCAGAAAGGAGTCACCCTCCTCGTGGAGGAGCTGGGGTTGGGTGAGCACCCCTGACCCCCAACCCTTCCCAGCATTCCCAGGTCTTTCTCCGGCCCCACGCATCCATCCACTCACGTTTGGTCTTCTGCTCGTCCAAACTGTATCCATAGTTTTCATTTCCGCCTCTGAACTTTGGCTCAAGAGTTTCCTTGTTTGCCTTCACATTTGGAGAGTTCCTAGAATCAGACCATTTTTTAAAAACCAAGTGTTAATGGCGATGGATCTTTCGTTCACCCTGCTCCGCCCAGAACATGCTCACACATGGAGCTGACCACAGGCCACAGCTCGGCTGCTGGCTCTGCGGGGTGTGAGGCTCGGGACGGGCACTCCCAGCCACCCACGAGGCTGGCGGCAGCCTGTGCGCTCACACACTCCCGTGATGGGGAGAGAGAGACAGAGCGTTAGCATGACAGGTCCGTGGACTCCACTCCCAAGTCAGGACTCAGGTCTCTGACAGCAGTGACCAAATAAAGCAGCGCTGACAAGCCACAGCCCTCGGGCCAAATCTGGCCCACCACCTGCTTTATAAATAAAGTTTTATTGAAACTCAACCGCGCCTGTCTGCTTCCATGTTGTCTATGGCTGCTTTCCTGGCGCAGCAGCAGAGCTGAGCAGCTGTGACAGAGAGCATGTGGCCCACAGCACCACAAATGCTCGCTCTCTGACCCCTCATAGAAAAAGTGTGTGACCTCTAAAACAAAGCAACAATCCCTGCAGCTTCCCAGGGGCAGGAAGCGTGGCAATGGATGGCCAAAGACTTTTAAATATTCACATTTGACCACTAAGAATTTATTACAGGGGAATAATCTAAGATACGTGCAAAGATTTACTGTAAGATTCACTGTATACAGTGAAGCTGCAATAAGTGAACCACAATATAGCAAGGGACGACTGTATACTTCACTGGTAAGAACCCATACAGCATTTTATATGTTGTTAAAATTACGTAGGTTCAAGAGTATAGAAAGTGTTTAAGAGCATATGAAGTGTTTATAAGAGTGTGGGAAAGGTTAATAAGAGAGTGGGAAAGGTTTATAGGAGTGTGGGAAGGGTTTATAAAGCCTTAAAATATATATAAATAATAAAATAAATATAACGCTGCTACTTCGTGGATTTTCACCTATCACGGGGGTCTCTGGAACGTAACTCCCAAGACGGGTGAGGGATCACTGTACTTGGTGGAATGCTCATTCATGAGCCAGTCACAGTAGCAAAAACTGCAAGCAACCTCCGTGCCCCACCGTAGGGGACTAGCCAAATAAACACATCCCTGCGGTGGAATCCCACGCCACCTGGGGAAATGACTGCAGGCGAGAACGCCCACGCGCCGCTGCCGGGAGAGTCACTGCCCCACCTACTTCGGAAAACTGGGCGGCAGGGTCGGCTGCAGCTGCACAGTGCCCACCCTCCAACGCAGCTTCCACGCACCGCTGCGTGGAACACGTTCTGCACACGTCACCGAAAGGCACTTGAAACTCGGTGCAGCTGAGTGCATCATGGACGCAACCTGCAAACCACCCAGGTGCCCACTTAAATAAGATGGGAAAACGAACTGCCCATCTGCCCGAAGGTAGCATGATATAACGATAAACAATCTCCACCATCGTCGGCGGATGGGCCGTCTCTCGGCGGGAAGCTCAGGAAGACCCACACGAATGAGGACACACGATACGATCTCACTTCTACGAAGTGTCTGAGGCCAGACTCTGGGCATGTGGGGGTGGGTGGCAGAAGACCTTTGAGGAAGGAAGGCAGTGGCCAGGTTGGGCCGGAGGGGGTTGCCTGGGCACCTGGGAGTGCTCCTGTCCTGGGTGTGGCATTCAAGGCCCACGCGCACCGGCTTCGTGAGCATCAGTCCAGCTACACACCCACAATTTGTGCACTTTCCTGCACTTACAGTATATTTCAGTAAGATACTTTATTAGGCAAAAGAAACACAAATGTCCTAGGGAGGGATTTGTTAGCAGAAATCATCCTCAAAATAATGTCAAGTGAGAAGCGTAGGCTATAAAATAACATATGTTATAATCCACATTTCTCAAAACGTGTGTATGTGTGTGTCTGTGTGGACCTACCTGTGTAAGTTTATGCACACTTAGGTAACAATCATTCCTTCTGGACAAGAGAATTACGGGTAACTTTAAAATCATTTCCTTCCTACCTTTAATATCATTACCTACTTTTGTTTTTTAATTTTTTCTAAAATAAACGTGCATTGATGCTATAGAAAACTATGGGGGGGGGGGTGTTGTGTCTGTGATGTCTGCTAGCAGCTGGCACCATGGACGAGGGCTCAGGCCCAGGGGCGGAACAGCCCAGCTCACGTCCTGACCCGTCCACCCTCTGGAAGGGCGATACCTGGCACAACAACACTCAATCCCTCTGCACCTACCCCTCAGTCTCTCCATCCACAAGAAGGGAAAACAGCCTCATAAAATCGAGGGGAGAATTAAGGGAGATGGAACTTCTCTCCACCCAGTGTGGAACACTCAGAACACACGAGCTATTAGCATCGCTACCGCTGCCATATTCACTGCTGCTGCTGTTGTTATGCTGATGATCGCCTCCCGTCGTCCTGCCTAGCTGTCAGTCACTGAAGCTAGGCACTGAAGTCACCTAGTATCCCAGCGACTAGAAATGAAACACGCTGCACAGTCAGTGACAGTGAGCCGCAGAACCCAGGCTGCCGTACAAGGACAGCCGTCTAGAGAAATGCCGGACCAGCGACCGGGGTCACTTTCCCTTCCTGTCCTCTCGCCCTAAGTCTGGCCCCCAAAGAGGCGTATTTTCAGGTCGCCGTTTTGTGGGGCCCTCAGTGAAGGGGCGGCCACCTTTCTCACGACACCCCCGTCCCCAGGGAGGGCGTGGGGTCCGAGAGCGAAGGGGTAGATTCCGTTACACTCGATGACGCATCTTCATTCACCACGTGTAGCCTAAGGCTATTTGACAATCACAGCATCTGAAAACACATGCAATAAACTACTGACAACTAGATGCGGTGTTGTTACAACACCCCCACAAATCCACGGCTATCTACAGATCCCTCCCCTTAGTACATTTATCATTATGTAAATATTGCAGACACGCACTGGCTATGGTATGATTGTAAAGTCCTTCACAGTTACCTGAAAAGTGTTTGCAGCTACTCCCGGACAGCTGTAGGAGTGGCCGGAAGTCTCGGGCCCTCCCCGCCGCCTGGTTTGTCTGCCTGGTCAGCGTCCTGTGCCTTCGCACCCCATCCAGCTAGTCCCACTGTTTCCACCGCCCCAGAAACTCCAGCAAAACCTCTGCCTGGTTCTCCAACACCCTTGAAACGGCCCTCCACCCCCAGCCTTGACTCAAAGCAGGAGGGACCATGGTCACGGTGCACAGTGCCCCCTTGTGGAAAGAGCTGCAAATGCCAGGCACCGGGAAGAAACTCTCGGTTTTCCCCAGTGAGCCAGGAACCATCACAGGCGGACGGTAACCGCCCGCCTTGGGTGCTCCGCACCCAACGAGCCACTTGAGCCTGTGATGGCGTGGGTGTGTTTCGGAGCTGTCCCCTTCCGGTGCTTCCTTTTGAGTAACAGAACCCTGAAATCCTTCGGTTGGGGGGGGGGGTGAGTTTGCTTGTTTTTCAGAAAATAGATGTGACTTGAACTTACCTTACTTCACTTTGATAACTGGATTCTGCAAAAAAAGAAAAAAATCACATCAGCAAAATCAGGACATTTATTCTGAAAATAAAATCTCATCCATTTGTATGGACCTCCCCCTAATGTTAATACATTACTGAGTATTGGTGACCCAGTAGGTATTAAGTCCCCCCCACACACAGAATTATCAAACGACTTCTAAGCATAAGGAAAGTAGAATTCGTCATTTACTGTCATTAATGTAAATCACCCCCGAGTGCCTGAAGTGTGGGAGGTTCCAAAGAAGGACTTAGGGAAGAATCCCGAATGCGACTGATGAGACTGTAATGACATCCATTCACCTCAAGGGGCGCTCTTCTGCCTGTGTCTGCTGTCACTCACTCAGTGCGTACCTGCCGTGGGCCAGCCCCATGCCAGCACTGGGCGCGGTATTATCTCATTTAATCACCACAACAGCCCAGAGGTAGGCGTTAGTGTGACCATATTTTTCGCAGGCTACACTAGACACCACTATATTAGCATTACCGTATTTTTAACAGATGAGGAATTATACGGCTGATAAGCACCGTATTTCTGTAATTCTAAGATACATGTTCAATGAATATGTACCAGAGGTGTGGATCCATACCGGCGTGTCCACCCTCCCCCCAAAGGCTGTCATCAAATTGCTAATGTTTCCACTCAGTGGGCTCTCGGATGGGAGGAAACAGAGGCCTTGACAATGAGAAGTAACAGACACGCAGCAGTCCCACCGTCTGTCTCTGCAGCCAGTGTCCCTTGCAGTCCCGCCGCCCTGTCTAGGCCTTCTAGTCGCGGAGTTGCACGAGATCTAAAAAGCAGTCATTTTCCTTTTTGGTTTAAGATAGTGCTGTTACCCATTTCCAGTTCTAATAACGTCCACTCGTTCACACCCAAAACTGAACCTCAGGGGGGATCTCATGGGAAGGAGAGAGGCTGCCCGGCCTCCCTCCGGTATGAAGGGATTGTCGCTGGTGCACCCACCAGGACCGGTTGCAGGAGATGGGCGCTCGGTCCCCCTGCTCCAGGAGCTGTGACCCCGAGGCCCGCAGGCCCACTGGGTGGGGTCCTCGCCGCCCTCCCTCGTCCCCAGTCAGGGCACAGAATTCTCCAGGCGCCAGCAAAGCAGAACGTCAGAGATACTTTTGAAAAAAAAAAAAAACTTGACGTATAATATTTGTAAGCATGGAAATGATGGTCTTGGGGACATCCAGAACCTGACCAGCTCCTTTACTTCATATCAGGGTGAAGTGCGTGTCCGAGTGAGTGACACCCGGTGGGGGCGGGCCTTGGAAGGAGGCTCTCACAGACCCTCACAGCCTGCGCCTGTCACAAAACAGCTCACTCTTACGTGGGTTTTTAATCTCAAAGTTGAACAAAAGATCGATTCTAGGGTGGATCACAGAAGCACTTAACATATTATCAGTTTATGGAATTCTCACAACCAACTTACAGGGTGGTACTTATTCCTATTCTGTAAACGAGGAAGCTAAGAATCAGAGAAGCATGCTTCTGCACACCCTATGGGGTCCTTCTTACCAGGCTCGAGTGGAGCAGACAAGAGCCTGTGAGAAGCAGAATCCAAGCAACCGGAATATTCTCCAGCTCTGCCGCAACAGCCAGGGCGGGCAACAGTCATCTGACAGCACTGACTAATCCCAGTCCCTTCTGAACTAAAGTGTACATTATCCAATCGTTTCCATTTAAACTGCCATCTATTTTACTTGAGTGATTCATCTGTGGCATCGAGGGTAACCCCCCAGTAAAAGCAAAGTCCCATCAAATCTGGGCCAACAGAGATTCATGATCTTTAATTTTTATTTCCTAGGGAATAAAGTTATGTCACAGAATCAGCGCCCAAATCACACACCAACTCACGCGAGAGCTGAGGCTAGACCACGCTCTTTGCACGGAATATTTCACTGAGAGGTGCATTTTGTGTAAAACGTTTACTTAACCCGGTGCCTGGCGCACACACACACACACACACACACACACACAGTGCACATTCAATGACAGCATTAATAAAAGTAAAGATGCAAGTACACCAACATCGAAATTCCAACTTTTAAGGTAAATAACTTAATTGCAGAAAATGTTCAAACAGAAGTAATTGAAGGTCTGAGGAGACAAAGACAAGGATGGACATGCCCTTTGGCGCTCGGAAAGTCCTGCGCCATCCACACGCCAAAGAAGCGATTGTTTCCGACGTCGCAAACTGCCAAACTCTACAACAAGCCCACCCCAGTGTGGCGCCGGACCCCCAAACCAGGCCACTGCTCTCATAGGTCTTGAAGGAGCTCAGAAGACCTCATTCAGAAGAAACGCGAAATCATTTTTATTCATTTTAGTTGTACTCTTTCTGTTAACAGGAGGCCTTCTTTTTTTCTTTCCACCACTACATCAACATTCACTTACAAAGGAAGACTTGGAATTCTACAAAATAGGGAACAATCTTATAACGTGTTCAAATGGGTAGGTGTTGTGCTAGAAAAAACACAGCACCTAGATGACAGTTCGAAAGAGCCTTATATCCTTGCAAAGGTGCACAAAAAATCACAGAGTCAGTGTCTTAGGTGATAAAGGTGCCGGCTCATCACCTTCTCAAAAGCTTGAAGACCTGTCCTCCTGGGGGCAGGGTGGGGAGGGGGCCCACATCAGGCCCCAAAGGAAATGCTCTCTTCTTGAAGAAAGTTTGCCCCCCACGCTGAGACTTTCACACACTTCCTTTCAAGCACCCGAAAGCCAATGTCCTTTTGGAAAGAGCTGATGAGCTCATGAACTTCAGCTGCTTGTACCAAACATTAAAAATACATGCAAATCCATAGGAACAAAAAAATTTTACCTTTTTCCTGTTTCCTGGAGACACAGCAGCAGCAGAAGATTATAATCAGAACAATGATCAGGATGAAAAGCAAGGAAAGCGACACTGCGAGGAGGACTATGGCCCAGGTAGGCAACGCGGCACCTGCTGTGTCGACACTGCCTGTGAGGTCGGGAGAGGGAAAGAGAAACATTTTAGTGGAGCTGGCCGCTGTCTGGGGCCTGTCATGCCTGGTTCAGCCACTCCACAGGCTAGACTGTGTTTTGCAGCGATATTGTGACCCTCTGGTCTGTTGCAGCTCAAGGTCGTGCGCTGACTTCTTCCCTTTGCTTCAGTGTCCAATTCTGGGCAGTGTCTTCCATGGCTATGCTTACGGCCGCCCGTGAATACCTGTTTGGTAACACAGCCCAAGTGCCCGCCAGTTAATGGCCTTTCCACGCCGGGAGGAAATGAGGCCAAATTGGGGGAGGGTCCCTCCTGAGGGAACCTGGTACCAAAGCCTCCCCTCGGGGCCACCCCTTCCCCACCCATGAATTCATTTTTCACACAGCAATTGCTCTTCCCTTGGCTCTGCGGGCACCACCTTAGTCCACTTCGCCCTCTTGTGTTGCCCAGGCCTCACGGAGCTGGGGCGGGAGAGAGGCTGAGCGGGCAGGGCACCCGGGCAGTGGAAGGGCGTGGGGAGGGAAGGAAGGAGGGATGGAAAGTCAACTTGATTTGTGACAGCCGTGCCTTAGCCAGAGCCGTCCAACGCACCGTCATGTGGCTATCTAAATTCAAGTTTAAGTTAATTAAAAGTATATACAGTTGGATGCTCAGAGCCTCAGACGCACCGGCCACATTTCAAGGGCTCCAGTGCCCCAAATTCTAAACAGGGCCTTTATTAACGAGGGTCCTGTTGGGCAGCGCCACCTAGCCATGCACCATGGGAACTGCACCAATGTTCCAAAGAACCTTGACCCCACCCCCCCCACCACCACCACACCAAGCTGAGCCATGGTGAAGTCAAACCACATTTAAATTCATCTGTTTACATGTGAATTGCTATTTCAGTAAAGGCTGCTGCTCAATCCTGAGTGCCTGGGCGGTATCTCAGTGTAAGTGCATGTGTTCCATTAGATGTTAGTCATTAGAAAATATTAAAAACAGACTTCCTAGGGAAGAAGATAAGGTTTGCTTAAAAATCAGTGAAGCTTCCATAGGGTGGGCTTGGGGCTTCGTGTGCATGGCACCATGGACATCGCATGGCCACTGTTTACCTGTGCTCCCTTTGGCCTCTGACTCACTCGCCCGTAACAATCCCTGCCCCTCCCCCAGGCTGTTCAGAGACTCCAGAGATACGTGCAAGAGTGTCAAGCACCCTAAGGTGCGATGCACAGGTTCAAGACTGAGGTTTGAAAAGATTAGGAGCGCCTGTAGTCAGGGAGCCAGCTGGGGTTCAACATTAAGGTCTGGCTTAAGATCCAACGGAAAGGCGTACAGTTCACCCTGGACCAAGTCAACACACCCGTTGACTTACTGAACCACTCCGCCCCTGCTGCAGAAAGCTATCAGCGCGCCACGCTCCTGTCAACCCAGCGCTGACGCGGTCACCTTTGTCTCCACGCGATCACACACACTCAGCCAGCCTCTTCCCCTCAGGGAGGACCTGTTTACAGACAGGGAAGGGCCGCCTCGCGGGGGCTGGTGACCGAATCAAGGAAGGGAGCGGGTGGTCTCTTAATTCAACTACCAGGTTCAGCCAAGGGACGCCGGCACTGCCCTAAGAGCCCCAAACTCTCTCCCCAAAATGGCACCTGGTACCCATGGCTCCTTCTTTCACTTTCTGTTCTGTGACCACACCCCTTTGGGGTTCGGACCTCCGTCCTGAGCCTCACGCCTAGGAGAGCCCGACGCTCTCCCTCCACGGCAGTGGCGCCCAAAGAAAAGCATGGTGTGCGGGCCATGCGGAGGTGTATGTGATACGGCACCAGGGCTACACAGACGAACCTTTCTTATTTTAATAATAATGTTTCCATTTATCAGCCATGACAAATACATGTACACACATATGCCCATAGATCATGGATTTTTTTAGTAGGAAACTAACTTTGTAAATGAACACACGTACAGCGGGTTGATAGACAACTAAATAGTGGCCATATATTGATACGTCAAATGTCATGACAATGGACGGAAAACACAGACTCTTGGCGTGATCTCATCCTCAATCCAACCCCTTTCTCTGGCAGATGAGACCCTTGGGGCAAAGGGACCGGTCAAGTCCCTTCGGTCAAGGGCGCTCAGAACAGGAAACCCAGGGGCTTGACATATGTCTTTCCATTCTGCCGAGTATCGTGTCCACTGTGGAATGATCCTCCTGATGAAGCTACAGCCCGGGGCCCCCCGGGAAATGGGCAGTCCAGGTGGGCACTGCCCCCCGCCGCGTGCCCACAGTGGAGGGCGTGGGCGGGGTGAGTCAGTGCTGGGGAGGCGGGTGTGCTGTGCCTGAGTAAGCACGGACAGTGAGATAGTGACTAAGGAAGATTATCTCCCAGCCCCACACGGCTGGCCTCCCTCCCTGCAGCCCCTCCCGCGGCTGCGTGCCTGTTAGGGCGGTGTCACTGAGTTCGCTGTGTGACGTCAGTCTCAGCTGGGAGACTGCCCTTTTCCCATCTGCGAAGAAAGGGAAAATAGTATTTCCCAGACGCTCTCACGGGAACGCTCGGAGTTTTGAAAGGGCACACACGACTTCTCGAAATCACCTGGGTGAAGGCTGAATGTCACCGCCAGCAGGTGCAAAGCCCGCCCCTGTGCTGACGGGAGGGGACACAGACCTCTGAATCCATCCGATCAAGGACAGTCACTCACTCGGCTGTCCCACGTGCCCTGAGGCAGGGCCTGTCCTCAGCACTTTAGACACTGGACCCCGATTACTGCTCACACCAGCGACAGCCCTAGAAGGTCGGTATGGTTATCTCAGGTGTACAGGTGAGAAGACCGAAGCCCAGAGAGGTTCACTAACACACCCAAAGTCACAGAGCGAGGAAACAGGCAAGCCGGCGCCTGAGTCTGGGCTGTCTGAGGTCCCAGTCTGGCTGATTAGCAGCATCGGATGAGGCTGGGTTGGGAGGGGAGGACTCTGAGAGGTTCCAGTTCAGTGGTCCCCAATCCTGACTGCCCGGTAAAGTCATTTGGCTTTTTTAAAAAAATGCTAATTCCCAGGTTCCACACAGACCAGTTAACGCAGAACCTCGGGGGGTGGACGCTTATATGTTGAAGCTCCCCAGGAACAGGCAGCAGGAGAGAGAGCTCCTGCCCGTTTGGTCTCCCGTGTGTTTTACAGGCAAGAAAACGGAGCCCAAAGGTGGGGCAGTGACTTGCCCAAAGTCACAAAGCTAGCGCCAGAGCTCCAACTCGGGACTGTCACTCCGGCCACGCTAGTCTGTCCTGGGAATTGCCACTTGTCACGAAGCTGAGACTATGGCGAGGAGTCGCTGCATTCGACCAGGTGCCCGTGCGTCCCACGAAGGTTGCTCTGGGCTCACATCTCACAGCGGGTCCGCTCCAGGAGGAGAAAACCGCCCAGTGGGCAGACGGGGGGGCGGGGGGGTGGGGGAAGTTGACTGGAATTTCAGCTGGATATGTGTCTGCAGTGCTTGAAGCTCAAAGCACTTCTGGAATCGAAAAAAAAAATCGATTTTTTTTAAGAAAGCATTGGCCTTGGCCCTTTTCATATGCTTTCCTTTAAAAAAAAATCAATAAGTGCTTCGCACAAGTTTTTGCTTGAAAGAATTAGACTTCTGACACTGCCATGGGCTCTCTCCTTTCAATGGTTTACAAAGGCATCCTTCGGGAAGTGAACATGAACTCCTTGCATTTGTTGGAACTGGGTGTCAGCACTGGCGTTCGTCTGATTCCGGGAGGAGCCGGAACGGGCGCAGCCTCCTTCCTCCCGGGCTCTCCGTGAACTTGGCGAGCTCCTGGAAGGCTTCTAGTCTGCAGCTCCACCGGCAGAGGCTGTAACGAGGTCCTCAGCTACTACTAAAACTTACATAAAACACACCACACGCAGCCAGCCGCCACCAGCTGCTCCGGATCTTGATGAATAATTTAGAAACAAATTAGCCTTTTCCAAATGAGTCCAATAAAGGGAGACTCACTGCAAGGCGCCCGCTGCGCTCTCCTCCGTGAGGCAGCCGGGACTCCAGCTGCCGTGACGGAGGCTGCTCACTTCACTGGGCCTCGTCTAAGAGGGACTCAACCCGGTCGGGGGCACCGTGGTGGGGGGGGTGGGGGGGGGCCGTGCCCTTCTCCTCCAAAAGAAGAACGTTGCGGGCCAGCTAATCTCCCAAATCCGTTTCCGTGGGCTTCATCCATCAGACCTGCATTATCGCCTTGTGAAGGTGTGGGGATTAATCCGCTGATTCCATTCCATTTGGTGCCAATGGGACTGTTAAAATCTTTCTATCCCAAGCCCAGGCCACACTCCATCATACTTAAATAGCTTAACGCAAGCCGGGTTGGTTGGCTCACTGGAGACTGGCAGGCTGTGGGCTGGGACCGGGGAGAGGCTCTGGGGGTTTGGAGCATCTTCTTGGGCCAGGTGCTCAGAAAGGAACAGGAACCTGTCCCGAGGACACCAACCAGCTGGAAGGAATTCCCACGGGCGGACTATGGAGCAATCCAGGCATCGGAATAAATAAGGACAGGAGCACATAACAGCGTATTGAATGAAAAGGAGCCCTTACTAAAATTGTTGTGTGTTTTTTTTGAAAGGAAGAGAAAGAGAAGGAAGTCTTCTCTGTACAGAAGAATGCCAACTGATAAATTACAGAAAAATGATGGAACCAGAAAAATCAGCCTTGTGACCATCAGTCAATAATTGATTCAGGCAGTGACTTATTGAGGAATGGAAAAGCTAGCAAGTGAAAGAGTGTTGAGAAAGAAGACATTCACACAGTATTTGTAGATTATGGATTAATCACAAAGGCAAAGGGTATCTTTACAAGGAAGGAAGTCGGGGACTCACCTTAACCAAATGATCAGAATTGCTACCAACGGCGGAGAAAGCCGGCATCGTGCCCCCACATGACCTCCCTGGGTCGCGGCAAACATATTTAGCCTAAATCTAACTGTGCTGGAAAAACTCGGACAAATCTGTATTGAAGGGCATCTTGCAAAAATGAGTTTTTAAGAAGGTTTACATCGGGAAAGACAAAAGAGCTGGGCGAGCCGTCGGAAATTGAAAGAGACTGAGGAAGACCTACCAACAGACCAAGGGTGACGTCGGTGTCAGGCTGGCCAGTGGTTTGGGGGAGAACAGGGCCACGAAGGACAACTGGGGGAATGCGCGTGTGGACTGAGTATTGTACAACAACACTGTGTCAGTGTTAAACTCCCCAGCTGCCCGCTCCATCCGGGTCACACAGAATGACCTTATTCCTCTGAAGCACACGCTGAGGAACTTAGGGGTAAAGAGTCATACCCTCTCCAACTAACTTTCAAATGGTTCATTTAAAAAATAAATAAAAGTTTAAAAAGACAAGCAAAATGACAAACTGTTAACATGTGCTGTATGTAGATAAACATGCATTGATATTCATTGCACTATTCTTGAAATTTTTCTGGGGCGTTTAAGTTTCAAAATAATAAGCTGGAAGAGAAAAAGCAAGCTAGTTGAATTCTAGCTTCCTCTCTTTATGTAGTCTTGCTGGGGAAGAAGCTAAATGCCTTCCAGTGGAATAAGCTAAAATAAGTTGACCTTGACTTAACATCAAGGAAACACCAGTTTCTGTGTCCTCGGCCCTCAAAAACCCTGGGGCACACCAGAGTCAGGTCAAAGGTCTGGCGGCCTTGGGTCCCCAGTCCCACTGATGGCACCAGCTGGAGCTGATGCTGCAACACTCCTGGGCGGGGCGTGCTCTCTGGTTCCCTGCGCTCCATCTCCGCCCCGACACATACTCGCTCATGCTTTCATTTCTGTGGTTCACCTCATCCCTGGGGCATCTGGGTTGGAGATAGATGCAAAGGCCTGACATTGGGGGGTAAAGGGGGCAACCCTGCAGGGCAAGCACAGAACGGCTCGGCAGACGACAGTCGGGCCCTGAACGGGTCTTCCGAGGCTCACAGGGACACCATCTGCTATGGGATGGGCTGTGTCCCCAAATCCGTGTGCAAGAGCTGACTTCTGGAACTTCAGCATGTGGCCGTATTTGGGAAGGGAGTATGGAAGCTGCAGTTTAGCTGAGGTCAGTGAGGTCAGGCTGGGTGTAGAATGGGCAGCCGGTCCTGACCTGATATGACCAGTGTCCTTCTAAAAACAAAAGGGACTTCCGGGCACAGACAAGCACACAGGGAGAATGCCGCCTGCAGATGAAGACAGAGCTCGGGCTGATGCTGCTACAGGCCAAGGGACCCAAAAGGCCAGCGACCCCAGAAGCTGGGTGGGGGGTAGGGCAGGGGGGAGGGAGCAGGTGCTCCCTCGAAGACCACGAAAGGAGCCGACCCTGCCGACACCCTGACTCCAGACGTCCAGACCCTGGAGCTGGAACACGGTCCCCTTCTCTCGTTGAGCCCCCACTCACACTTGCTGTCATCGGCCCCGGGACACACCCCCGACCTCCAAGGGGCTGCTCCAAGTGCGGGGCCGAGTTGACAGGGGAGCAGACTCCAAAGCCAGACTGGCAGGGTCACTGCCTGCCATTCGTAGCTCTAGGGACGCGGGCAGGTGCCGAACCACACCGTGTCCCTGTCACCGCGCCTTTACCACAGGAAGGGCAGCATCCGCTCAGAGGGCTCCGTTTGGTTAATATCTGAGACATTTACAAATGTCCCTAGTGAGTAGGAGCTATGCAGCGCTGATGACTATTATCATCACTGCTACGATCGCCATCACCATCATCATCATCACCTCACTGCAGCTGCAGCTTTGCTCTGAACTCTGAACGTCCGTAGGGAAGGGAGTTTTCACACGAGGACACGCCTTGGACCAAGAGAGAAGCTCGTCCCGGCTTCCCAGCCCCTCGGCGGCAGCCCCTGTCCCACCCAACAAAGAGCGGCACCCCTCTGCCTCCCTCTCCCGGCTCTTGTGTAACACGAAGGGGTTCAAGTCCATCTCCAGCCCCCGAGTTCCATGTTTTCTCCTCCATCCCGGCCGACTCGGGCCCAGGCCGGCTCTGCAAACCTGGCGAAGGTGTATGGTTAGCATTTTTCCTGTCCAAAGACCCTGCAACAAGTGCCTTTGGGACTTAAACTTTCAATTTATGTTATTTAACCCCATTAAAAAACCTACTTCGACTTGGTACTTTGAAACGCACAGATTTGTTGGGTAAAAAAAAAATGAAACCTTATCATTTCACTAAGATTGGAAGGAATCTGAGAGGACCCACACACTCTCCTAAAATATTATGAGAGCTTTCTCCTTATTGGCCCAGGAAGGGATCACCTCAGAATAATGAATAAAAGCTGAGAAAAGAAAAAAAAAAAACATTGAATTCAAGTATTTATCTCTGAACCTGATGCAGTTTCATGCTACTAATTGTCAAGATTCTCACTGATTTTCCCACGTGAGGAGGAAAGGAGAAATGCCAGGGGATGAGATTTGCAAATCAAGCGGCATGGCAGGGCCACCGAGCGGGCACTGGAAGCAGTTTGTCTCTGTCACCACCCCGCCCTGAGATCAAGGTCGGCGGGCGGTTTTCCTGGACAGGGAGCCTCGGCAGCAGCACACAGAAAAATAGGCATGCGGTAATAACAGACTTTTCATAAAGCAGAAAGTCTTCACTTACCCAGGGCAGGCGGGACCACGGTAAGATTTATCGTGAGGGAATCGCGGGCTTGCAGCCCCTTCATGTTGGCCACGCACGTCACCGTCCCGTTGCCCTGCGGCGTCAGGGCCAGGAGGCTCAGGGCGCTCTGGGGGTCGTCCGGCTCCGGCACGGAGTGGTAGCTCCAGTGACTCACGGGGGCACCGATCTCCCAGGAAAGGTCGGGGAGCGGCGTCCAGCCCACCGCACGGCAAGTCACATTACAAGGCTCGTCCTCAGTGACTACAAGACTGTCACTGGGGGTGAGCAGCTTGCCCACAACTGAAGAAGAAAAGAGAGACATTCTGAAGGAAAGGCCACGCCCCTCACCTCCCAGGCGCTTCATTTCATTTTTCAGTTCGCGTTGCGCGAGCGCCACCTCCCCAGGCCCCAGTCGGCCGTGTCTGCAGGGGGAAACCTTCGTCCAGGGGGTGCCTGGGTCTGTATTTGCACTTCCCAGGCCCACGGGGAAAGGTGGGGTGGCTCACCGGAAAAGATGTCGTTCCAGGGAAATGAATAAAAATCAGGACCCAGGGGGATATGGATTATATGGGAAAGGGAGGGCCCCCGTGCCTGCCACAGGGACTCCACAATCCCTAAAAAGTCACCCTGGGCCACCCAGGAGCCCAAACAAAAAGGGCAATGAATCCAAATCAAATCCAATAGAATTCCAGGAGTAACCACCCTCAATCACGTATCAGAATATATTGCCCAGACAGACTGTTGAAAAGTCGTCGCCGAGGACGTCTCGCACGTGCCAGCGTCCACGCCGTTGGCAACGCGTCCGAAAGCACCCCCGGTGCTGCCGGTGTCACCACCCACGGGGTCCCGCTGCAGACACAGCCTCCCAGGACACAGCGCACGGCCATGTGCCAATTACAACGTCAACACCCCCAGCGGTGTGGTATAATGGGAAGAACACCGGACTGAGAATCAAAACCTCTGCCCACAGTCCTGGCTCCCCCACAGAGCTGGCATCCGCCTGCGCAAGTCCCTGAGAATTTCAGGCTGTGTTCTCCCTGGGCACGAGGGGATTTGACTGAACTACTAGTTTTCAGTCCTCAGGTTTCCACACCTCCTACACTCTTACAAACCACTGCGGACTCCAGACGCCTCTCATTTGTGTGGGTTATGTCTATGGAGACTTACCATGTTTGCAATTAGAATCATTTCCTTTTAGATATTCAAAAATAGCAATAATCCAATTCATAGTAAATATAGATTCATATTTTTATGAAAATACCTGTATCTCAAACCAAAATTAATTAGTCAGAAGAGCAATATTGTTTTATGTTTATGCAAATCTCTTTCACCTCTGGCTGGATTTCTCATATCTCCTTCTGTATTCAATCTGTTGCCATATATTGCTTCATTTAAAGGTGATTTTTAAAAAATCTGAGCCCTGGCTGGCGTAGCTCAGTGCATTGAGTGCGGGCTGCGAACCAAAGCGTCGCAGGTTCGATTCCCAGCCAGGGCAACATGCCTGGGTTGCAGGCCACAGCCCCCAGCAAACCGCACATTGATGTTTCTCTCTCTCTCTCTCTCTTTCTCCCTCCCTTCCCTCTCTAAAAATAAATAAATAAATCTTTTTAAAAAAATCTGACTTCACAGAGCTGCAGAGCTGGAAGAGTGAGGAGCCTTTCACGGGCTTTTCAGAGAACCACGGGTATCATTTGATACTACACCAACACTTGACAAGTGGTGGCTTCTTGAAGGCCAGTGTCCCTGTAGAAACGGAAACCATGTAGAGAAACATTCGCTGTCTGGTAGGTTACAAATCCATTGCTCTGTCTGGCCCTTGCGATGGCTCTGTTCTTGCTCACACATCAGTCCCTTGCACACCACTGGCCCACTGAGTTGTGCAGACGTCTCCAGGGTGCGGTGGACAGCCCCTCATTCACACGTGGGAACTGAGAGTGGGAATGGCCACTAACACCTTAGTACTGTCCTGAAAAGTGTCAGGACCTCACAGATCCCCTTGACGGGCTCAGGGGGGCACCTGGGGATTCCCAGCCGAGACTGAACTGGACCTGCACTGGGAAAGCCCTGCTCACCCAGAAATGTCAGCTTTCCCATCATCCTTTGCCTGCAGAGTCTCTTGGAGGGGGCAAAGCACGGTCACCAGCTCAAGGATGACAGCACCCGCCACAGTGGGAGGGCACCAGATTTGTCCCTTAAGGCCAAAGAGTTCTTGGTTTGGTTTGCTCCTTGTTTCATTGGTCAAAGAGGTTTAAGACGACGGAAACCCAGAGCAGTGGTATTGCCTCAGTCAACAACAGGAGAAATCGGCCCTCCTCACACGAGAGGGCGAGAGGCTGGCGTGCGGCTACCTGGTGGCTCGGGCACATGCTGTGATCCGAATACAGCATTTTCTTCTCTGTGTGTATTGGTGATTCAGCTCTTCCCACCGGCTTTCCAGAAGGTCAGCCAGGAGAAGGGCACATTGTGTAAGGTGGTAGCCACAACATGTTACATAGATTTTGGGGTGGCTCACTATGGAACTATGTAAGTTCCCTTTATTGTTCTCGTTGATACTTGAAGAGAACAAAACGATCTTTGGATAATGCGGGTATATCCAAGGTATATTGGATGTTTCCTCTTTTTTTCAAAATTCTTCTCCCTTGAGGGAGACCCTGCTGCTCAGAGAGCATTTGTTCCTCTAAGAACAAAGTGACATTCGGACCAAGTTCTGTCCTATTCTGCGGGGTCCTTCCTCGGGACCTTGGCTGGGAACAATTTTAACTTCCCAAGGTGTTTGCCCTTCTATTTCTTCTAAAACAAAAAGCTACATTCGTTATTCACATATAAAAATATGTGAATATTTTTACAGATTTGCAGCTTTGGGAAGAGATGCTACAAAACCACGTGGATTTACGCATTTGGCGCCATGAACAGCGGTCACAAGCCATGCCTTGGCCGCGGTTCCTGGATCCAGGAGGGCCCTCTTCCTCCCTCACCTCCCGACCTTGCCTCTCATCCGCAGACCTTTGAGACACATCTCAAGGGGCAACTTCTCCTCGGAGTCATCCTAGGAGACCACTGATTGTCTCATCCCCCTCCCCAGTTTGAACCCGAGCTGTCTCTCCACCCATGCAGCCTCTGGGTGCACACTGTTCCTCCTGCGCTTGCACGAGCCACTCTTCTCGTACAGTTCCAGGGGGCAGGACCGCGTCCTGTTCTGCTGGTCTCTGAGTCCCCCAGGACGGCCTAACACCGCGGTGTGCTCCTACTGAGGATGCAGCAAGTAACAGCAGATGGCTATCTGGAGATTGCAACGGGCCAGGGGCTGTTCTAAAGACTGTCTGAGACCTGCTCATCTGATCGCATGGCAGCCCTGTAATGAGGACACTGGGTCCTGAGCTGACGTGTCCACAGTCACAGAGTCGGTCAATAACAAAGCTGGGACTTGAACCCAGCACTCGGGCTCCGGAGAGCTGTTAACCACTAAACTGCTGAGGTTTCAGAGTCTTCAACCACCCTCCATCCCTTCCTCATCTGATCCTCACCGTACACCTGCGCAGTGGGGAGAGGAGTCTTGGCCCAGTTTTAAGGATGAAGAAACTGAACCAATTCAGGAGTCACCAAGGTGGGTAACTGATGAACACAAAACCAGAACTCACATCTTTGATTCGTTTTCCGGTGTTCTTTCCCTTATACCACAAATCATTACAACAAGAATCTGGTCATGCAGGCGAGGCCAGCAATCCAGGGAGGTTCACAAAATCACTTAACATCACAAAATGTCATTGGTCCCCTAATTAAACCATGTAAAGACACATAAAGTAAAGATGCAGTGATTTGGCCAAATGAAAAAATGCAAGTAGAAATAGGTAGACATGTATCTGCACCAAATGTTACCCAATTTGATTTGATCGCATGAATACAGACCAAATCTTTGGAAATTTCACCTAGACGAGCAAATAAGTAAATGTGAGAAAAACTTCAAAGACACAATTGTGGTCTGTTTTAAAAGCTGCTGCTGCAGAGAGCTAGCTCCAGTGCATCTAGAAATAGTATGTAATTGCATTTTTAAGGAATGTAAAGTGATTAAACTTTAGAAACGTGTTCTGAATCCATGTAAATCATCCTTTTATTTTTTCACTATGTAATGTGATCTTCAGAACCTAAAAATTAGCTTTGAAAATGAAAGATAAGTTACTCTTTTTTATAAATTTTGTTTATTCTTTCTTCTAAAACCCTTGACAGCTTTCTCTGGAAGAACCACTGGGGTGGGGAAAAGTAGTAAATTGGGGAGATGAAGCTGAAAAAGGAAAAAGTGACAGCATAATTCAACATTGATAAAGATGTCCAAGTGATGTAAATATCAAAAATGATGTAAGGCAAAGAAATCGCGTCAAGCGTATGAAAAGCTGGGCACACGGCGGTGACTGTCAGCTCTCCCTAAATCATAGACAAGTGAGGGCAACTGGCTCCAGCAGTCTTCCAGGATGTGTTTGCAGAAAAGCAATTAGGTACTGAAATGGACGAGATGGGAAGTGACAGAAACCTGTTTTTAAGAGTCTTAGTCATAGACACACGGAAAGAAGCGACGGAAGGAAGGAGGGAGAGAAACAGAAAGGAAGGAAGTAGAAAGAGGATTCAGTGAGGAAGGCGGGAGAGAAATACACAAATAACAAAACCACAAACACTGGTCGATTCAGAATTATCCTAAGCGTGACACCAACTGAAGGTGCCCCAGACGTCACCACATAGGACACGAACCTCGGAAGGTGCCTTGCATTTCCCTGACACCTGACCCGCAGGGCTCCGAGCGCCACCGCCCTCAGCCGCTCCTGCACACGTACCTTGGACGGAAAGGAAGGCGGACCCCTCGCTGTCACTGTTCTGGAGGCTGCATTTGACGCGCCCGGCGTCGCTGAACTTCACGTCGTGGATTATCATCTCCGAGATGAAGTCGCCGCCCTCCTCGTAGCTGGCGGAGGTGAAGCGGTCACTGGTGATGATGGGCTCCTTGGGCGTGACGCTCAGGACCACGGTGCCGTTCAGAGCCCACATGATGAGCCTCCAACCCTGCGAGACCGTGCAGTTGAAGTGGGCCTCGCCGCCCACCAGCGCCGTGGTGTTCCGGGGGCCTTCTATGATCTGGTTGCTGGATCCGGAAGCTGAAACACAACCCGTGTTTTCGAGTGAATGAATGAATCTGTAGAGGTCTGCTGTGACATTTAACCCTTCTGCATACAAGTGGGGGCCCCTGAGTGGCCACCCCATGGTCCAGGCTCCATGTCTTACTGACCCCAACCCCAGGTCTCCCCAGAAGATCAGGAGCTTCCAGGGGATGGAAAGCCACTCCATCCCTCCGTCTCATGTATCCCCCCTTCCTGCACAGCACTTAGCATCTCAGCATCTCAGCTGGATTGCCAATGAGGAGGCAATGCTCCCCCTCCCCTTCCCGCAGGATGTCACCTTAAGTATCTGACCCCAGCTTTGCCCAGAGAGCCACCACTAGCCCAGCTCTGTCACATTAGGGGAGTTTTTTGGCCTCACTCTGAAAAGAACCTTTTTCCTCCCAGTGAAATGAGGAAGACCTTCTTCCGGAGCTGGGAGGGGACAGCGGAGCACCTTGTCTTTACAAAGAGGATGGAGACTCCCGCATGCTGTGACCATGGCCCATGTGTGCCCCCTGCGCCCTGAGAGCCCCCACAGGGGGTGCTTAAGACAGTGTCTGTGGCTGTAGGATGTGAGGAATGCAGGCAAGGAGAGATGGAAGCTGGGTCCCGTGTGTAGGGACACAGAGCTGTGGAAAAGTCAGTGTGAAGTAGCCAGAAGACGGTACTGTCACTGGGGCCACGCCCCTCCCCTAAAGACGGGAGACAGAGAAAGGGCTGAGGGGTGGGAAGATGTGGGGATCAGAGCCCTTCATGAGGATGCCCAAGGGGTGCATTCGGCAGCCCCGTAGAAGGTCTCACCACACCTAGTGTTGGGAAGAAAGCCCAGCACTCTGCAGGGGTGTCCAACCTTTTGGCCTCTCTGGGCCACGCTGGAGAGTTTTCTTGGGCCACATGCTAAACATGCAAACACTGACAAAAACAAAATATCTCACAGGGTTTTAAGTAAATTTATGAGTTTGTGTTGGACCACATTCATAGCCATCCTGGGCCTCGTGTGGCCCCCAGGCCGTGGGTTGCACACCCGTGCTAGAGTGTAAGACCACAGACCCCAGAGCAACGGTCCTTGCTCACCAGACGAGTTCTCTCCCCTCCCCATGCCCCACTCCCCACGGCTGCAAAACAGGGGCACTGGTCCCACAGTGACTAGTTTCAAGAACCACAGAGGACGGTCCACTCAAAGCCTTCCAGGTGACCCCCAGGCACTCAGTGAAAACTCACTATTACATGACCTGCAAGGGGGAACGGCACTGGCCTACAAGATGAGCCCAGAAAACCATGAAGTAACATTGTTTCCATTCTACTTTCCACAACATTCTGCCCTTCGCTCACCAGGTGCCCTCTGACACCGGTTTTAACTGGGGTGACAGGTCTGCCTGGTCTCCCCGTGGAGCGCCCTGGGGGCTCTCCAGCTCACCAGAACTCCGTCATGATCTCTTGACACAGAGCGCGTCCTGCACCTGAAGAACTCAAGCAATCTCTGGGTCACTCAGCACTGGTTTTCTTACTACTCTACAGGAACAAATTGGCAGCCAGAGTTTTCCTAGACTTTCCCACGCTGGTAATAATAATTCCAAGTATGGCAATGATAATCTTCAAGGTCGCTATTTCCCTCTTTCACCGCCTGTGGTTTCATGCTGAGAAAACGAAGACCAGGACCTGTGACCACAGTGGTGGTGCTCAGACCCTCCCACCCTGAATTCCCCCTCCTTTCCACTCCTTCCCCTCTGATCTCACTCAGGCTTCGTAGCAAGAAAACGCCCTGGCGGACCACACACCTGCCACATTGTGGAGCTGCGTGACCCCTGCGGGTGGACCAGGCAGCCCGCCATATGCATCGAGTGTCCTCAGTGATGCAGCAGCCCCCTTTCCTTCCAACCTTATAAGGTCCGGTGGTAAAGCAGGTTCTCAAAGAATTTCATTACAGCTCTAAAGTTTTCTAGGAAAAAAAGCACACAGCTGGACACACGGTAACGCTTCACCAGAGTACCCAGAATGCACTGTGGGAATACATCACAGGAGTGGGTAACGGCAGAGAATGAACCCCTGCACAGACAGGGTCCCGAGCCCAGCGGATGGGGCGGAGAAGCAGCCAGGGACAAGGAGGGGCCACCGGCTCCGAAGAGGCAAAACTGAGGGAAGGTCAGATGTCACTGAGGCTACCCCTGTGCTTGGGTAAACATGTTGACTACTCTCTGGTCTCTGCTTCGCCTCCGTGCGCGAGATGGAAAAAAGATAAATGTAACTGAAATATCAACTCCGATTGTCTGAGCAAGTTGCTCAGGTCTGGGATCCCTTTGATCTAGGAGTTTATAAAAGGGAAAAGCCAGAGGAAGGGAAGTCAGAAACGGCTCCCCAGGGAAACCACCACTGTGCTAACCGGGCTCTCTCCACGAGACCTGGACTGCCCCTTCAGAAGGACAAAAGAACAGAAACAGCCAAGCCTACACCCAGGGGAGAGATAGACGCTCCCACACTCTGCACCGCGATAACAACGCTCTTCCCGTTCCTGACTCGGGCCGGTGGGAGTTCACTGGACAGAGCCACGGGGCGGGGGGTGGGGCTGCAGAGACGGGTGAGACCCAGGCTGGCGACTGCAGCAGAAGGAGCAACAAATAACAATCTGAGACCACAGTCTCTTTGGTCCCTCTGGTCTCTTTGGTCTCTGGAAGAGACCACAGTCTCTTCCCTGCCCGTTGCAAACTATGTGACATAGATTTCAGTCCAGGCGCTGTTCACACCACACCTGTCTTCAAACACCCTGCGGACTGCATGCGTGACCAAGAAAACACAAAGGCCGCATACCTTACTTTGCAGCTACGGCAGCGAGAGGGAGGAAGAGAGGGAGGGAGGGACCTGTACCAGATGGAAACTCTTTGAGTCTGCACTTGACATTTAAGTTAAACAGGAGGCACCAAAATCCTAAGCTGGGCACGGCCCTGACAATGCAGCCTGCAGCCTGCGCTCCCACCATCAGAGGACGCCCCTCCGGCTCCTCCTCGTGACTCAGAAGCTGCCTTTCCGGAAACCTGTGGCCCTGTGGCCTCATGCCTCTCTCCCCTCTCTCCTATCAGCTGGCTCTGTGCGGAGCCCTGTCCCACCCAGAACAAATATGAGAAAATTGTAAATAGGACCTTTAATCACAGTCACCTACCTCAACACAAAGCCTCCCTTTCCCCTCTGCCCTCCCTAGCACTTCGTAGAGCATAAGGGCAAAGGAGGGGCAGAGCCACGGGCAAGGTCGATGTCCCCCTCCCAGGAGCCTCCTGTGTCTACCAGCCACAGTGGTCGCCCAGCACCAGGCCCCCTCCCGGGAGGGGCTTATCCACTCGCAAGATGCTCATTCACGCTGACGTTCTCCCAATCCCAAATGTGCGCCTCCAGCCCGCCCTCTCGCTCTCTCTCTTGCCCCACAATCCCACTGCACCGGGCATCTCAGTATAGAGGCCGGGGTGCCCCCCAGGGTTGAAAAGCTCCTCTTTTTCTACTCCCTGCATCCTTCCATCGGCAGAGTGAAACCACTCTCACTGCGGCAGGTTTGCGACTTCTGTGACTCCCACCGGCCCGCCACGAGTCGGTCCTGAACCTAGGTCCTGCTCTCCAGCAACGGCTTTTGCTCCGCGCCCCGGAACAGCAGCCGGCTGCCTCCCTGGCTGAGGGGCGTGGAGCCCTCCATTCCTCCACCGTCCTCGTCTCCAGCTCCTCTCACTGCACCCGAAGACCCTCACCACCTCCCCTCTCTCACTCAACACCGGAAATGAATAGAGAAGCAGATGGTTGAAAGGCAGAGGGCGGAAAGGGGAGCAGCGTGGAGGGAGGGAAGGACAGCCCTGCTCTGTGAAGGCAGCCCCTGGAGGACCAAGTGGGACCCTCTGTGCCTCCGGGGCTGGGACCAGTGGGAGGAAAGTGAGAGGTGGGGGGGGGGTGGTCCTCGGGTGGCTCTGAGCTTCCTGCTGAGTCCTGCTGACGATGACAGGAGGTGCCAGCATCACCGCTGCGCCACCGCCACTGCCCAGGATGGCTCTCCGTGCGGCAGTGAGAGGCGCCTTCTGAACCCAGCAGTACACTCAGGACCCTCCCTTACGCCCCAGCTCCACACCCCAGACTTTGTTCAAATATTTCCGTCATTTAGGGCAAACACCAGATAACCCTTAACACTGGCACAGGCCGAGACCCTGCTTAGCCTCGCACCAACTTCCTTTGGCCCCAAACCCCGCTCTCTTCTCGCCAGCCCCAGGGCCTTGGCACAGGCTGTGGCCAGCCCGACATGACAGTCTCTCTCCGCAGCTCCCAGCCGAGAGGTTGTCGCCTCCTCGGGGAGCCGTCCCAGACCACCCGATTTAGGGTAAATCATCCTATAACAGGCTTTCAAATCAGTGAAGCAATTATCACGGGGTGATTTTATACTGATTTTTCTACCAATTAACGCCTGTTTCCTCTACGGCCTGAAACTCCTTGCCGGCAGGGACTCCACTGGCCTCTGCTCATCGCCGCGTCCCGGTGCCTGCAACCACACGGCGCACTCAGGCCCTCGGTGAACACGCACTGAGTGGGTATCGGGCGGTCCAGCTCCACCTAAGCTGTTACACTGGGGACCAGGTGGAGAGGAGAGGGCTGGGGGAGCGCACTGGGCGCACTCGGGGGGGAGCCCTCAACTGTTCAAGGCCAAGTCTGCAAGCGAAGGCATCCCTACCCCAAGAAGCACCCGAGGGGCTCAGCCTTCTGCTACGGCCCCATCCCCCAGGGGGTCTCCAATCAGCCCGCAGTCCTTTCCCTCCTGGAGCAACTGCCTCCAGGCCCCCATCAGAGCCTCCCCTGCCTTCCACACAGAGCTCCGGGGAAAGGTCTGCAGAACGCTGCCGACCCACAGTTCCGCAGTTCCCCGCTGAGCTGCTGGGAGAGATCTTTGTGCCACTGTGGCCAAAACAGCCTCATGGGAGCCGTGTCCCTAAACCAGTGCTGAGCCTGGTTTGCCAGCCACACACAGGTTCCGCACAGGGGGGCGGTGTCTTCCCCTCCACTCTGCAAGCCAATGTCGTCGCGCACCTTGGTGTTTATCAGCACCGAGCACCGCGCACTGTCGGGCAGGGGCTTTCGAGCGTCCCTGCTCCCAAACACGTGTTAACACGGGAGCCTGGCGCCCACGGGCTTCACGTGTAAATAGCCCAAAATCAAAATGTGTCAGACAGTCCTGGCTGCATGTAGCACACTCTGATGGTCCTCACTCTCGTTCTAGTTCACTCCATTTCATTTTTTTGATGCTGGCATGGACAGAGTGTTAAAAAACATTATGTATCCCTGGCTGGTGGTGTGGCTCAGTGGACTAAGTGCCAGCCTGCAAACCAAAGGGTCGCTGGTTCAATTCCCAGTCAGGGAATACATGCCTGGGGCTGCGGGCCAGGTCTCCAGTTGGGGGGCATAGGAGAGGCAACCACACATGGATGTTTCTCTCCCTCTCTTTCTCCCTCCCTTCCCCTCTCTCTAACAATAAATGAATAAAATCTTTTTTAAGCATTATATGGCCATCGGAAATAGAGTGCTATGTGTACAAAGTACAAAACCAGCAGCACGCATCTCCACAGCTAGAAGTCAGAATAATGGTCCCTTTGGGGAGCAGAGAGGGGAGGCAGGAAGGAAGCATCTGCCGCGTGCTCTTGGTCTTACTGTTGACACACGAAGGGGTCTGGCTGGCGACAGCTCATGGGGCTGTGCCTCTGTGACCATGCACTGCTCCGTCTGTAGCTTTTTCTTCACCGCAGGGCCTCAAAACCACTGCGGTGGGGAGCACAGGACGGCCACCCTGAGGGGTTTAAAACCCAGCCAGGAAACGAGACAGACACACCTGAAGCCGTGAAATGTAGGCAAGACGGAGTCGGAACAGAGCTCGGGGCGCAAACTCCAGCCACCCTATGGACCCCGAGGTCCACACACTGCCTCTCTGCAAAGCAGCCTGATCAGGGGACCCTGGCCAGGGACACCCTGGAGGCCATTCCAGACGACACACTAGGAGGGGTCCAGAACAAGGAGGCGCTGTTGACAAACACCCCCCCGCCGCCACCCTGTCAGTATGGAAACTGAGATTATCGCCCTGAAAACTGCAAGATCAGGAAGGCTTCCTGGAGGAGGCGACACCTGAGTCGGCCTTCCTCAAAGACCAGGCGGAAACAGAAGAGGGACAGGAGCGATGGCTTGTGGGGAGGCACTAGAGACATGAACCCTGAAGAAGAGAAGCCGGTGGGGTCCGCTGCACCCGAAGGACCGCTCCCGGAGCTGAGTCAGTGCGGCAGGACGGGGGACCCACTGAAGAGACCTCGCTGTGGAGAAGGGGACCGGTGGCAAGCGCCTGAGGAACAAGCTTCTGGCAGCCGTGTGCACCAGCGGCCTCCTCTGGGCCCCTTCCACCCACTCCAGGTGGAGGCCCTGGACCAGGCCCCCAGGCTCCGGAGACCCTACCTGGTAGGCCAGCCACGACGACCAGCGCGGCCAGGATACCTCGCCAGCTGCCCTCCATCTCCGCATGTTCCTCCGCACCCTGGGGAAACAAAGCAGGCAGGTAGCAGTCTCTCACTGGCGAGCGTTTACCGCGCAGAGCTCTGCGGAGCCCCGACCGGCCCCGGTGTGACCGGGCACGGCTGCGTCAGCGCTGGTCGGTGTGGTCGGCGGCTCCGGCCTCACCTGGGGCCTTGTTAGAAAACCGAATGCTCGCACCCAGAGGACCAGAGACCCCGGAGGTGAGCCCAGCAACCTGTCTACACCAGGCTCAACTCTGGCACGTGCCCAAGCCGGAGAATCACTGTATCACATGATCTCCCTCCCAAGCCCATGTATAAATTATGGGAGCCCGTGGTGCACCATTACCGCTGGGTTCCTGACCACGGCGCAGCCGCCTGGGCTCCCAGCTCCCCGTTGCAATCCCGGCACCTTAGTCACCGAGAAGAGAAAGCCCGGCGCACGACAGCTGCATGGGACCAAGAGCGAATGCAGGCAGCAAGCTCAAGAAGTGGGGCACGAGGCTACTAGAAGGCGGCGAGAGGCATGAGAAAAACGACAGGGGATGTGTGTGAGGGGTGTGTGCGGGCGGGGGCTGGTTCCCGCCTCCAGTGGGGAGGCCAGAGGAGGGCGCCCAGGAGGTGTCCTCTGAACGCTGAAGGAGGGGAGGGGACACAATGTGGACACCTGGACAGAAGGGTTGCCCAGGCAGAGGAGCAGCAGGCACAAAGGCCCTGGGGTGGCACCATGACTGGCACGTTTATGGGCCTGCAGCGAGGGGCTCTGGGGCTGGGGCCGAGGGAGGGGTGAGTGGACGCGGGAGAAGTCAGAGGTCAAGGGCAGGCAGAGTGAGGCCTGACCAGCCCCCAGCAGCACGCCAGGGCCCTGTCACGTGCGCCCCTCGACCCTCCCGTTCACCCCTTTGCTCTCCGATGCCCTCGAGCTCATCCTGCAACCCTGTGTCTTTTCTCTTTATTGTTCCCTTCCCCGCAGACGGGCCTGTCCAGGGCAGAAGCCATGCTGCTGGGTCTCACTGAAGTGTTCAGGGCGAAATCAGCTGCCAAACGTGTCATGAACTGTCTACAAAAAAGAAAAGAAAAAAAAAACACACACACAGCCTCCTAACCTCAGGAAACGGTCTCTGTTTGAAACGTTCTTCAACCACCACCACGTGGTGCCTGGTGACCGAGGTGGCTTCGCCTTCATCTCGGGCACCACCCAGGGGGCACAGCTGTGCTGGGGAGCCACTCGTCGCTCCAGAACATACGGGGTGCGGGGTTCCACCAGAGCCCCGTGGTGGGATTTGTGCAGTGTGCTGACACCCCCACCCAGGCAGGGCTCCGGACCCTTTCCTTCCTTACGGGCCGAAGGGGACAGACCCACGGGCGGAAGCACAAGACCTGAACTGGGCCCCGGGAAATACCTGCCTCACGGAAGTTTGTGGAATGCGCCTCCCGCACGGTGCAGAGTCGCACAGAGCGAGCAGCAGGGTGACGGATGGCAACGACGCTCAGGGCCCGACCACCCCGTTACACACCGGCGTGTGACTGGGCGGTCATGGCCCACGAGAAAGACTCTGGGCTCCCCCACCCCGAGGTTTTCCGGTGTCTCTGGACAGCAGAAGTCAGCGTGCCTTTGCTGAACCCTAACTGCTCGTGTCCAAGGGCGAGGGTCCGAGTGTCCATGCCGGACCACCACCCTGCTGCGGAGCCCGCCCCTGGACTCCGCTGAACTATAAGCTGAACTGGACTCAGCAAATCCCTAAGCAAACCGTGCGCCTCGGCGGCAAGAAGCACAGCAGCTGCTCGTGGCTGAACTGAAGTCACAGCCTTCCAAGCCTAGTTCAAGGTCCCCAGTCAAAGCATTCGCCAGTTTTCAAGGTTCAATGAGCACGGCAATCACCACCAATCTAGCTAGAATGCTGGACCCCAGCAGAGGATGAAAGAGAAACTGAGCCCTGGAGTCAGGTTTCACCGAAAGCCATAAATGAGCAGTGCGGACCCAACGCCGCGCAACCCTGGGCAACAGCTAAAGGTCACGAGGAAACACTCAGAGTCGCTGATAAGCAGCAACGTGAGTCAGGATGCAGACTAAGGACTGGTGACAACTTGTCAAGTGCTTCCTTCTGCCACCGTCCTCACACCCCTCTCTCGCCCGTTCTTTGCAGAAGACTCTACTCCTACCCGGCCGGCAGAGCCCAGGGCGGGCGGGGTGGGGTCCAGCCAGGTGGGGTGGGGTCCGGCCGGGGGCCACAGACGTGGGTTTGCCGGGGGCCGGCACTGGAAGGGTGTGTGCCGAAGGCACTGTCATAAAGCTGTCTCCGAGTCTGAGCTGAGATCAGACAAGCCGCTTGAGTTACACGGGGACCTATGCCAGGCCGTTCACAAGTTTCTGTCTCTATGGCTTAGTCTGGTGGGTCCCTGAATCTTGCCCTCTCATTCATTTCGATGTGGAAGACTGGACTCGCCAACTTTTAGGTGAAAGACCCCTGTCCCCTTTTCAAACTCTTAAATCTTACGAAATCATATTAACTAGATAGGATTTAACCCTCAACCAATTCCCTAATGCCCTGAGATCCCCAAAACACTCGGGTGGTCTGGACCCACCCAGCTAATCGTCCCAGGAAGAAAACTGCTGACTCTGGTCATCCTGCTTAATGCCCCCCCCAGGCACAAACGCTCATTTCTGGGTGCTTGGGAGCAGCGTGAAGTCAGGGATCTCAAGCCCAGAGGGAAGGAGGGTTTGACAGGCAGGGTGTGTGACCGCTGACGGGCTTGCTGCAAACCCCCATGCCTTCGAGAAGGCACGGACACCCCTAATTCTCTCAGCACCCAGCTCCACGCGCCCCCCCCCCACTGGGGCAGAGGGGCGCTGGCACCGCCTGCCAGACTTGGGGCAGCCTCAGAACCCCCAGAAACCTCGGAGCAGGTCTCCTCCACACAGCCCTTCCCATCGGGCACTCGATCGCATGCCGTTTAAAAGGTCGTCTGACGAACAACGTGAGTCACAGTAACTTTCCAGCATCTGCACCCTGACCTCCCAAATTCCAGCCCGGGCTCGGCTTTCAACGCATCCCCGAGAACAGCTGCCTGTGAAAGGGACACTCTCTCGATCAGAAACCGTCTCAAATTCCCCCCCTCTCTCCGAGCAAGCAGCTCTTTTAATTTTTAACTGCGGACAAGTTGGGAATCAGAATACCTTGTCGTCGTGACGGGCTGACACTTTCCCCGGGAGGACAGCCGGAGCGCCCCACTCCCTGCAGGAGACCCGGGAGCTGTGGGGTGTCCCCTACGGGCCTACGCGAACACCTGTCCCCGAGCCGCCTTACCTCCGGCAGGTGGGTCTTCTCTTCTTCGGGGCTTCGGGGAAGGCTCTCAGTTTCCAGGAGGCGTCTTGGCCTCCGTCCTCTCTCCACACAAACACAGGAACAAATTCAATCCAGCCACCGGAGAATCCTGACCCGACCTCAGCAGCGAACAGGAAGTCCCCAATGAAACAGTCTGCCAGCCACAGGCCCTCGCTGCCTGGAGGTGCGTGCCGCCCCGCAGAGTTCCTGTTAATCATTAGCCAGCCCCAAACAGCAGCCCAGGAAGTCCGGCCGGGGCCTGGGAATGCCAAGGCCGTGGGGCCGGGACCGACCTCCAGCCCCGGTCCCTCCTCCAGGCCTTTCCCTGGCCCTGCGGAGCCAAGGCCGGCTGGGCTGCGCCGTGGTCTCCCACCCGCTGGAGGCTGGCTGGCCGGCCCGCCCGGCCCTGCTCCCGCCGGCCTCTGGCCCAGGCCCAGGGGCTGGTGAAGCCGGTTCCTTCTCCCCGCCAGGCACTTCCACATCCGCAAGAACAGGTTCTTTGTGAGAGAAGAAAAGAGAGTCCTTGGGGTGCAGCGCTCTGGAACGTGGCCACCTTGAGGGGTGAATCAGAGTTTCCTGGGGAGTGTTTGCACAGGACTGGGAAGGGGTTTTCTGCCCTCCTGCCCCACCCCACCCCCGTGGCCCACTCCCAGCCCCCCCAGCAGGAACAAAGGACCTTGGCTTTTCCGAGGGCTTCGACAATTTCTGGGGGAAAACCCATCGCCCAAAATCCTCATGCACAGCGCTGTGTTGAACTGCCTTCTCTCTCTCTCTCTCTCTCATTCTCTTTCTCTCTCTCTTTTGAACTGTCCTCGCTTCCATGGTTCTTTTTTCAGTATCTGGCTTGTCTCTCCCATGACATTTAAATCTTGCCGGGAGACTCAGGATCAAGGGCGTCTATGGAGAATAGGCACCAACAGAAATAAGCGCCGCGTACTCAGAGTAAGACCCTAAAGTCAATCAACAGGGAGATGCCGCCCTTCCCGCCAAAGGGCATCAGAGCACACCACTCTGGGAGAGTCGCTTTGGCATCAAGATTAGTTGAAGCTGAAGACATTTGAGATTCAACAGAGGGAAGAAAAAAAAAAACCTCAGAGCTTCCCTTTTCTGACTTACAGCAGCAATCTGGGGAATGAAAATGGCCATTAAATCTTCTCCGTCCACCCGCAGAAGGGAAAACACGGCCAAAACCTACTCCAAAGCCCTTTTCCCGGAGACTTGATGGTCCTGAAGGTGGAAAGACCACTCGTACCTATGTACGAGGGGGGATCCAAAACAACCCAGAATTATCTTCGGGAGGATGGGCCCCTTATAGGACAGGCTTCCCCTGCCAGGTGCATGTTCTAAGAACCCATCCAGGTCAGTGTACCAGCTGGCGTTGTTGTGAGAGGCTGCATTCAGCTTCAGTGAAATTTTTTTTGGAAAACTCAATGTGTTTGCCCATTTCATGATGGGTGATTTACAAGGGCACCTGCCCACACTGCGCTGAGCGTTCAGCAGTTTTTGACCAAAAACGGCGTGATCCCTCAGCTCCAACCTCCTATTCACCTGATCTCACCCTGAGAGACTTTTTGTTGTTGTTGTTTTCCCATGAAAAAAGTCCTCAAAAGGAAATGTTTTGTCAATGTGGAAGAAATGAAACAAAAAAACAGCAGACGCACTAAAAGGCGTCAACATTAATGAGTTGAAAATCTGTTCTGAGCAGTGGAAAAATACATCTTGATAGGTGTACTGCACCAAACGGAGAGCACATGGAAGGCGGCTGAAGTTTAAACATGTAAGAATAAATACACAACTTCTTATATATAAATTCTTCTTTGTGGGGGGATGCCCCTTTGTAGACAAACATTCCACTATCCTCCTTGTGTCCCACCTGTTCTCCTAAAAATCTACTCCTCTTTCTTAAAGGAACCTATTTGCTCATCACAGAAAAAGCCTGTTCTCCCCTTCCCCTCACCGTACTAAATTAGGTATGTAGATATTTAACCGCTTAACGAGCCAGTTACTTCTTCCGCTGGCTCCTGTATATATGCAAAATAAAGCTGCTTCTCCAGTTAATCGGGCCTTGAGCAGTTGAACTCACAAGCCCCAGCCACCGAACTTACAAGGGCAGAGGAAAAGATTGGTTTTCCCTTCCCTACAGAGCCCCGTGCTAGGGGCTGATCAGAAAAGGGGTGAGCAGAACCGGCACTCAGGGAGTCGATGCATCAGCCCCAGAGTCTTACAAACCCACACGGGGTCACAGCGCCTCACTCACGAGTCCCTGAGGGCCTCAAGCAATTCAAAACGCAAATAACTTTGGAATAATGAGCTAGGAGGGTGACAATCTAAGGCCAGTGTCATTCATTTCTGCCCTGCTGTGCTTTTTTGACTTTCTCAGCTTCGGTCCTCAGATGTAGACTGTCTGTCGGCCAGCCCTGGGGGACACCGGGCTGACCTTCAGGGTCCAGTGTCACGGCTGATTTGCTCCCAAGATCCCCAGCCCCGGTCTTCGCCCCAGCCCTACAACCAAAGCATGTTGTTCGAGCTTCCAGAAGTTTCTGTTATAGAACAATGAGTGCCCTGGGGAGAAAATAAAATTTTTCCTCTACTCTCCTTGGTTTTGTGTCTTGGGCCCTGACCGTTAAACTGACAGAAGACAAAGATGAACAAGAGTTGACGAACAGGTGCCGCAGTCACTTCCACGAGAGACAATCGGTGAGGAGTAGCTCCAAGGGGTAGTTAGAACTTGGGCGTATATAGTCAGAGTCTTAAGACAATGCATCTGTGGAGAAGTGACCAGACGAAGGAAAAGAAGTTTAGGCTTTGGGGGGTTGGGGCGGTGAACTGTGGGAAGATGAGGGGGGGATTGATGGGAGAGGCAGTGGGGCTCTGGGAAGGTCTGTTGAGTGGACGCTGACCGCGTCTCCAGGGATTGAGCTCCTTTCGCCCTTCTGGGACAACAGAGGGGAAGGCGGCAAGTCTGTGTGGTGTCTGCTATTCCCCGATTGTCTTCGGCTTCAAATAAACCTTATGCCAACGTGGCATGTTTGGGAAGAGGGCACATTCTGACCTCCCACGAGGGGCCTGATGACACTACACACATAGAGTGGTGATAACCACCCACAGAAGTTCCACAGAGGGCCCACAGTCTCCCTTCCCCCCACCCCCTGCACCAACGCTGGGTCTGGGGACGGATGTCCACCACTTCCTGAGCTGCCACCCCAGGGCAACGGTGGAAAGACTATTTATAAGTCGTAGGAAATGCAGCTACTTTAACTGTGCCTTCCTGAGGGATTTTTTTTCCTTTTCATTTAGGAGATGTGCCTTATTTCAAAGTTTGAGAATAAAGAGAGATTGGACTAATATTTTTAGCCTGCACTATTTTAAAATCACAAAGTTCAGGCTTTAATAAAACATGTTCACACTGCAGTGCAGGTCATGGTAACGGCTCTGCAGGAAGCGGTGAAGGGGGGGGGCGGGTCCCCTGAGGAAACTGGGTTTGAGCTCGGATGGGGGTGGGCGTGTTGGGAGTGACTGAGGGCAAGGCAGCACCGTGTCCTGGGGCGGAGGGGACAGCGTGCATCGAGGCAGCACCCTGGCATCTCAGGCGGCAGGTGCCCGGTGCACCTGCGGGGGTTGAAAGGGGCCCAGGGGACATGAATGCAAAGGGGTGGGGGCGAGGCTGGCCTTCGATGGGCCCAGAGGCCAGGCGGGGTCCGGACCGAGGGTACAGACCGAGTCAGAGGTTGGTTTTGTCTTCAGATAGGAAAGGGAATGTGCAGGGCAGGTGGTTAACGACTTTGAAACAGGCAGCGAAGAGTATGGGGTTGTCTGATTTCATAGGACCTGAGCCATCTCTGGGCTGCGGCAAACCCTGTGTTTGTGACGGCCAACGCTGTGTGTTGACCTGACTGGATCCCCAGGTATGTGGTTAAACACTGTTTCTGGGTGTGTCTGGGAGGCCGTTCCTGAAAAAGGTTAGCACTTGCACGAGTAGACTGAGTGACGCAGCTTGCCCCGCCCCGTGTGGGTGGGGCTCGCCTGGGCCTTGGAGGCCGCGAGCAGGATGAGAAGGCAGCAGGGAGGGTGAATCCTCCCCACCTCGCTGGGGCATCTGTCCTCTCCTGCCTCCCAACATCGATGCTCCTGGTTCTCCGGGCTTTGCACGCAGACTGGACCCTGCCCCGCCAGCCCTCCAGTTCTCCGAGCTTCAGAGTGCGGCCGGAGCCACTCCAGCAGCCCTCCTGGGCCCTCCTCACCTCGCAGAAGGCAGATCTCGGGACAGTGCAGCCTCCATAATCCTGAGGGCCGATTTCTCACAACAAATACATGTCTCTGGTTGGTTCTGTTTGTCTGGAGAACCCCGAAGCTGGAAGAAACTTGCAGCAATACAAATGACTCTGGTACTGATGGAAATGCACACAAACTTCGTCTGGTGAACTGCGTGCAGTTGATTTTCACCCTGTAGATGCTGACCAGTGAATGTTTGAAAATGCTTCTGCGTTCACGATGGTGCACGGCACATGCGTCCTGCGAAACCTCCACGGAGCCCGTTGTACCGTCTGGCTGCACCCTCATTGGCTAACGAGTTCATTGAAATCCTGAGCACGTGTTTCCGGTAGATCTGTATGAGAGTCAGGATTTTAAATCTCGTAACAGGACCCCTTTGAGGAATATGAGCACACAAGTGACATGACCTCCACAGAATATTTAGGAAATATTAAAAATAATACATGGGATCATATAAAAGTGTCCACATCTAGCTGGGGTTTCTTTTTTTTTTGCCCACAGAAACAGCAATTTTACGTAAGGCTCAATCGAATATAAAGATGAAAATAAAACCTACCTGTAATTTCAACATCACCCATCGAGGGGCATTATGCATTTTAATGAACGACTTCCATTATTTTCCTTATCATAAAAGTGAGACATATTCACCGTGGGAAAACTAGAAGATGCAGGTAATCCAAAAAGGAGAAAAATTTAAAGCAGACGACTCAGAAGAGTGCCACATGGGGGCAATCACTGTCAGCAGCACGGTGTGTGGCTGCTGAGAGATGTTCGTGTGGTACCTGCTGTTTAGTGATGAGATGTTATCCACTTCACATTCTAACCTCGGCCCCATCAGTAAGTGCATTATTTTCAACTACTAGGCATAACTCCCTCCACGCAGATAGCACCACCTACCTAGGCAGGTTCCTGCTGTTGGCCTTCCTGTCGGCTGCGATTTGTCCCAGCGTCCTCGGTGGTGAGCACTGTCACAGCTGGATTCGGGAGGACACGTCCACTCCCTTAGGACAGGTTCTGGAAGATGCAGTTGCTCCCTGGCAGCACAAAAACACCAGTGATGGCGGGGGGAGGGGAGAGAGACAAGGGAGAGGATTGGGGGCCGTGAACATGCTCCGTGTGATACTGTAACATTGGATGTGTGTCATTGCACACGTGCCAAAACCCATACATAGAATGTGCATCAGGAGGGAACCCGAGTGCAGGCTCTGG